CATTAGATCTCTTCATCTTTCTATCTTACTTTTAATTGCTGAAATATGTGTCCCTTACCTTCTTCCTGTCAATCGTTAATTAAGTCCTGTTGGCATGTCTGAGCTAATTAGCAGTGCACAGCCTGTACAGTGACAGCCTGGATGTGTCCATTGAGAAGCCTTTGATTTTATGGCTTCGTGCTTCCTGTGTGAATGCGGAGAATTAACAGGGCTGAAGACAGATCCATCTCCAGAGCGTTTTTCACTGACGCCGCACACTGATCAGACTAACGAGCACACATCTAGTTAGAGGTACTTAAAGTCACGATGCTGCCACTGTTTCAGCACAGGGAAGGATTCTGACAATGAGCTCTGTCCTCTATACTGCATCTGCCCTTTGTGTCCATTTGTGACTTAAATTAACTGTATGTAGCATGTGCTTTTACAGTTTTAGGAAAGGTACTACAATCCCAAACAGGTTGCTCATGCCTTAACCTTCATATAAATTTCTGAGTTTTTTTTTTTCATTTACTTCATATGGACATGATTGACTGCAGGCGCTGGAGTTTACAATCCTTTTAGCTTTAAACTCATGTGAGGCTCATTCTGCTTTTTGATTGGATCATGAGAACCAAAGCACAACATTGTAACATTAACAACTTTGCCCTGCCCAGTGTTAGAATCAATTGGCATTATAGTTATCAGTAAGAGCTATACTTGATTTACCATATCTGAGGACACAGTTAGGCCATGTTTATGAAATTTAAAATCAAACTCATACATACAGTCAGAGCACCAGGTCCCAAATATGTTCATGTACATATCACAGTTTTTGTTATTGTTTTTTGAATTTTGTTGTATCTGGCTCAAACAAACAAACAAATAAATAAATAAATAAATACAGTCCCTCTAACATTTGCTCATTAGCACATGCAAACGGCAACACTTTCTTCTTTTTGTTCTGTCTTGAGACTTGATAATCCTTCATATTAAGGAATTAAAGGAATTGATAATAAAGAAATTAAAATCTAAAACATTGTAATGAAAAAAAGGGCTTTGAGTTAATTTGAATAAGTTGCATTTTGTAATGATACACGTCCAATGTACCTGTGCAGTGGTCAGTACATATTATTGCATAATACATACTGAAGTACGTGTTTTACTCTATACTACACACTCCGAAAATCAAAGTTCAACACATTTGCAATATATTTATTTGGCCACCAGAGAGCAGTCGCCACTAGCAAGTAAAGCCATGAGTCATGGGTCTGATAAAGTACAAAAATGCATTTACAGTGTGGCTCAGACCAGAGGGCTTTAACAGACATCTGGATCTGGTTACGTAACATTTCTCTAATGCTCCCATTCAGAAAAAAAAAAAAAAAAAAAAAAAAAACTAAACAAAAAACTGCTCTTCTTTGTTGCATAAAATACGACAGTCGCTTCAGGACCGTGGACAGAGGACATGAGTATTTCAGGACCGTGGACAGCGACTCCCGCGTTGCACCGCGCAGCTTTTCCTTCACAATGGTCAATATTTTCATCTCTTCAACAACACACTATGAAGCAAAGCAACACAGTAATTTCCATTCATGAACCATGCTCAGGCAGCGTGAAGGCAAGATGAATATGAACACATGTGAATGTAGGGCTGTAGTGTGACTGGTTCGCTGTGTAGCCACCGGCTGTGCAGTCATGCTTACTAGGTCCAGAGAAGACACGACACAAATCAAGGAACCAGCTTTCTGGGATTTCCTCACACTGGGGCGGGGGAGCAGGGGGGGTGGCAGGGGGGAGAGGAGGATTTCGCCCTCGTTCACAGGGATGACGTCTGCCCACGCACGTCAGACGAAGGGGCATCAAAGAGCAGCACTTAACCCCTCTCTCCCTGGCTACAGAGCAGGGAAAAAATGGGAAGCGTGCGGGATGTGGAACCGGGGACATTAGCACGTGATCAGTTGGATATAGCTCTCTCAGAAAGGCTTCAATAGCTGAAAATGGTCGATACTGGGCCCGAGGGGAATCGTGATCGACGCTAGACAGTATTCTCCTCTCTGATTGGAGGAGAGTTCACGTACGTTGCAGCAGTAAAAAAAAAATGAATTTAATGTCTAAGCTCTGACTTAACGTCCAGACAAAGCAACAGTCACATGGAGTATAACCGGTTAACTGGATGACGGTGCACGGCCTTTAAATAAACCACGTCAAAGATAAACGAATTATGGATGCATTAGGGGCAAATAGCGACACAGCAAATCCCCCCCTTTAGCTTAGCACCCCACTAGCCCACTACGTCACAGCGGAAGTAGCGCTACGTTGGCACGGCTCGGCGCGGGTTGTGCCAGTGTTGGTTCACTTAACAGGATGAGCACATTAGGGGCATTTAACTAATTAGAGCAGGTAAAAATAGAGACACGGAGTCATGCAGAATTGTATTTACTTGTTTTGTTGCCTGTTTGCATTAAAAATTTTATATATATAGCCTTAATTTAAAAAAAAAAAAACATATTTTATTCTGTACCCAACACACAAACACGAAAGAAATGAAATGATATGTTGTTTGTATGTTGTTGTTTAGCTCGTTTGTGCAGCACGGTGGGGTGACAGAATAATAAGATTAGGCTGAGGACGTAAGCTACACTCCAAACCCAGTGATCAGCAGTTGTACTACTGTTTGTGTTTACATTACTGTAGGCCACTGTGCACAGTTAACTCTGGAGCAGGTCATTTGTGGTGTATCAGAAGAATCATTTAACAATATACAGCCCTACCCCCTACACCTTTTCTATATAATAATGATGACCAAAAAGGTTAAATCCTACTAGCACTATTATTTGTGTTATGTGGCTTTCTATAACCACAAAGTCCAGAGTTTGGTACAGTCTTTAAAGTGTCTTTTGTTTAGAGAGTGCTGTGAAAGTTGATTGTTCATCAAGTCGAGTAATGTAAATATGATGCACTAAACTGAAAATAAAACAATAAATGATTTTCTTTAGGATGGAATCTGATCATTTTCATTGATAATTTCTCAGTTGTACTGTAAATGTGCCAAATGATTTCAGCTTCCTGTATAGGTGACATTTTGAGCACTTTTCACACTTAAAAATATATATTCTGAAGAGATTATGATGACTTTTCACTGTTATACTTTCCACAATTCAAAATATAGCCTACGCCTATATTTAGTTTAAAACTGTCAAACTCGTGGAAACATTGTTCAGACGCATGATTGAACCTTTTTCAAAAGAGCCATTAACTTCAGACTCAGCGTCAGAGAGAACATTTATAAAATGTATGTACGCGCAGGATAGTTATGACCAGATATTTTATGGATGATATACAGTGTCTGGCATGTCAGTCTACTGTAGTACACTCTGTTAAGCGTTCTACTGTTAGTTAAGTTACAACACCAGCATACCAGCATTTTTATCTTAAAACAAAATGATGTAGTGGCTCTTTAAAGCTATATTTTGACCACGCTTGTCCCTGTTGACATCTGGGCTGATCAATAGCAGAGACAGCCGGTGAAGGAGAGCGGGAGGGCGGGGTGGATGGAGAGGAGAGAGGGAGGGACGTGATAGTCTGCACCGCACTGTGAAGGGGGCCGTCCCTGTTTGAGATCAGCCCGAACAAGGCCCGTGCACTTATTATCTCAAGATATCTTCAATTTTGACCAGAGTTTGAACCTTCCCGTGCACATCGACCATAGAGGGGCAAGTCGAAGGCTATTTGTAAATAGGTAAGTGTTTTCCTGTTGTATTATAATTATGCATTTTTGTATAAATTTCACGCAAATAGAGGTCACCACCATTTCAGGAACGTGCCTAAGCTTCGATGAAAAGCTGTGCACCTTGCTTCCACGTTGTGTCTACACCACAATGTGTAAAGTGATCGAAAAACAGCTCTAATGGACAATATTGCTTTCACATTATTCACACGAGAGGGTCAAAAACTACAGTGCCAACGGTTCTAGCGTGAGAAGGCGCGACGCGTAAAGTGTAGAGTGTATGTAGCGATTAAAGGCTTGACCTGCTGCTTTTACGATGGCACCGTAAAAGGGATTCGAACTGTCAATCTACAACTGTGTGGTATTTTTTCTCTTCTAGGGAGTCGCTTTGCGTGAGTCTTCCATCACCATCTCCCTATAGCCTCATATTAAAACCATGGCGCGCGTGCATATCAGATTGGATCGTGCTTATACCCACCCTTCCCCCAGCAGCAGCAGCAGCGTAATGTACTATATGTGCCCACACTGTCCCTGCTATCACAAAACGGGCCTTGCGCTTTTCACTGTCCCCTCGGTCCTCCCGTCATCCCTCCGCCGCGGCCTAGAGTAACGTTACATCGTCGCAATAATTAATGAGCTCGTTCACAATTAACCATTTCATTGAAATCTTTGCACCGCTGAATATTTCATGCTTTGACTGGGACGTGAAAAGGGGGCTGGTATGCTTGAGTGAACACAGGGTTTTACTACTGCCTTATTGGACTGCAGCTGTCAGGGATAGCCACAGGAGGCGGTGCTGTATTTTACGCACCACAATGTAATACAATAGACTCGAATCAATATGGATCTCAAATGTACTCTGCTGTGAAGATGACCACCTCAAGTTGTAATAAAAGAGGGACACGTTGTTGAATATGGTGAGTAGATAACTGCAATCATAACACGTGACAAGAGATTGGAATGGCAGTAGGTACCAACATACAGTATTACATCCATGAATGCCACTACGCCCAAAAACTTGATTTCTTTGCGAGAAAAAAAATCTGTTAATATTTTTACGTTTTCATTTTTTTTTTACTTCATGCAGGATCAATGAAAAAGCAGGACATTTACTGAAAAAGTGGGATGAAGGACAGGGGCTGTAATGGGTACAGGACAGCCAAAAGAGGGACAGGTGGTCACCTCTAGTTGCTATTGATTTACAAATGTTATTTCTGTAAGTGGATTTCAGATGACAAAGGACGCTGCGATGGAGAGTGACATATCCTGTGTTCATTTCAGTGATTCGGCCAAGATGGATGTGTTTATGAAGGGTATGTCTAAAGCTAAAGAGGGGCTCGCTGTGGCCGCTGAGAAAACCAAGGAAGGAGTCGCAGTGGCAGCCGAAAAGACTAAAGAGGGAGTCATGTTTGTAGGTAAGACCATTCTCAGCTGTTTTACATTATTTGACCTGCGCATAGAGGTGACCTATATTGACAAAAAAGATCATTTTTTTGTATGATCTCAATAGCAGTTGGTGGTTTTCAGATTCACACAAATGGCACAGGGCACAGTTTCCCCTATTAATTACACTGTACTTTGCAATAAAAGGTAAACAGTTAAAAGGTATAATGTCACTTTATAGTAGTGATTAAACCCACTGCCTTCCTGTATTGCTACAAAAACCACCATCATCAATTTTTAACAATGAATCTGGGGTCTTCTAAACAAACTTGTTGAGGTTAAAGTAGCGCACAATGCATGAATGGACAACAAAGTTAACCACGAAATGTCGCTTTTTTACTCTTTTTATGTAAAATTGCACTAGATATTTCTGGTAATTTTAGTTTTAATTATAGATGATACTCCATAGTCTAGTTCAGATTCAGAACAACAATTGCAATGTTATCTATTTTTCCCTGTATGGCCACACCTCTACATGCACAGCACACTCCATCGTGCCAGTGATTTATGCGGCACACAGCAAATGAGCCCACTGATGATTAAATGAACAGAAGGTCTGCATCTTCTCAAATAAATTACTTTCAATATTATCATTAGTGGCTTGTACCAAACCAACAGTTCTATAGAGATATGACCGCATTCGTACTGCAATATTAGATTGATCACAACATACATAGAATTCGCTTTTAGTGACGCACACGCCGTTTCTTTGAAAAGGAGAAAACTGTGATTCAATTGACCCCCAGCCAGGCATTGTCATATAATCAATACCTGTACTTTTACAAATGAGCTAAAAATAACAGCATTTTAAATTGATCTCATTCAACCCTCTTTAATTAAAATCTGTGGCATTATTATTTCTGCTTATAACATGGTGTTTAGTGTATTTCTCTTCAACCTCATGGACAGAAGATAGTGTACATGGCGAGAGGGAGCAGATTGTAAAACAGTCACCTCCTGCAGATCAAACCAAGCAAAAGACCTCAGAATATCGTCTGCAACACGCTGGTCTAGAGATTGGCACAGATTAACACAACATAGGCACAGGCGAAGGGTGGCATAGGTATTATGAAATCAATCCAAAATGTCCAAATCAAGGTGCTGTGATTTAACTGTATAAAGCACATGGCCAAATGGGAATCATAAAGTTGTGTCAGTACTGGTCATTTTTTACAAATTTTACAAGGTAGGAAATATACTATACTTTAATTTTATTCATTTGTAAAGATTGTCAGGTCAATTGTTATGAACCTCCTCAAAAACATGCCTGGAATTGTGTTTTGTTTCATTCACACGTTTGACTAATCTTTTATTGTTAATCTGTCTATATGTCCAAAGCTCAAAATGCTCCGTTCCAGCTTGTGATGTTATGAAGCAGTAGTTTGAAGATGTATGGAGTTTAAAAACACAGTGGAGCACTTCCTGTATTACCACATTACATCACAAGGTGGAACAGAATGATTTCTGTTTGAGGGAAGAACTCGACCTAAATATGCAGGATTTGTGTGTGAATGAAACATAAGACAACTCCAGGTATGTTTGTGGTGAGGAAACAACATTAAGACATAGATGTGATTGTGATTGCATTGACTTGAATGTTACACAGTATGGAATTAAATTTATCTAACTAATATTTTCTAATTACATGTATTTTTATTGGCTAAAATACCTTCTTTCTTAATGTGACTGACGGCATCACCTGCTTGCCCTTTGGAACACAACAATTGAGACAAGCTCTACCTGAAAAAGTTATTATTAAAAATATGAAATTTTGTTTTATGTCTAGATAATTTTTCTTTTTGTCAGAAATGAATATATGTCACGATAACAAATTTTTAAGCATATATTGGTACAGAGAAATATTGCAATAAAAGATCATATTGAAACTACTTTATGCTACTGTTTAGGATTAAAATATTATAAACCCTTTTTAAATAGACAGAATCATTAAAATCGTGAGCTGCAACAAATAAACAACAGAATGAACCAATACTTAGTTGTAAGAGTGACTTATTCAATCCTCTGCAGCTTAAATCTTATCTTATTACAATTAAAATAACAAAAATCTTCCAATTTTTTTTGTAAAAACGTACCCAGGATAAATTTTAAACCCCAAAATATTTTGTTTAAAGTGAATGATAAGTCAATATGGTGATTATTGTGACAGGCCTAAATGAATACTCAAATAAATCCTGCAAAAATGTATTGTTTCTAAATAAAGATAGCAGATGATTTGCTGGTTGTGATCTTAAATATTGAAAAAAAAAAAAAAAATCCATATATAGGAGTACCTTAAAATTCAAATCCTGTTAGTGTTTTCCATGTACTGTATTGTTAGAAGTTATTAAGAGCCAGTTGTCCTGGGTCTGAAGTGAAGTAGACTGACCCATCTCTATAGTTGTTGAAATACAGCTTATAGACACAGAACGTTGTGTAGTTTTACTGCTACACACGTTAAAGGATATTGATTAAATGCTATTACTCTTAAACTGTGTCTTAATGCTGTGGTTTAATATTTAATCAACTGTGGCCATTACCTGGTCCATTTGGGTATTGCACTTTGAGTATGTGGCATTGTGTGTGTTAAATTATATCTTGGTTTCCGTGCTGGTTCTGCTTGTTATTCTGCATTTGTTGGACTGACAGTGAGGGGAGGGCCAGCGGTGACTCAGGGGCCCCGAGCTGGACAGAGGTCTTGCGAGCTGTTGCATTTTACATGGGAATATATATATGTTTTAGATGTGGCCCTGGATCTGTAGCATATGACTGCTTTTCACTGGGTGTCAGTTGGGCCATACACCTAGGCTCGTCACGATAATTACTGTACCAGTTTATCATTCATTATGTGAAAGATGGAACAATATATATTTGGGGGCTAATTATTTATCATGTGTACAAGGTCTTTGCAACAATCGGGAGAGTTTTGCCATTTTTATGTAATATGATAAGATTTGAGCTGTAAAGGTTTGAGAAAATAACTTATATTAATAACTTCTATGAATAATTATTGTTTAATTCTGCAATTTCTTTGTCGGCTCAGGCTTTTTAAATTATACTGTCTATTTAAAAGTATTATGGGATTATCCTGCTTTGTGGCATAAAGTAGTTCCAATTATATTATATGTGCCAATATATCGTGCTTCAAAATTTGTTATTGTGACCTATCGTGCCTATATATGTCACATCTTCTTAACTATGTGTGCAAATGATCTTGAATGTATCCAGCAATGTCTTCATTATGATGGCAGACACACAAGCTACAGGGGGTGACAGGCCATTGTGATTTTGTCCCAAACCCAACCCAGTATATTGCAAAGACAGCATTTCAGTAAGGGAAATATGTTATTTTAAGTGTGATTTGTTTAGTGTATCTGTATTCATTTGTACACATTTGGTAACTTAAAGGTGCACTATGAAACCTTTTGGGTGGGGGGACCGTCACCTGCTTGTTTCTATGGATATGTCACTGCTCTGCCTGGAATGTTCGACAGTATGACAATAAACAGCTTTACCTTAACATATATTCAATCACAGGTGGGTTTACAGCTCAAATACCTAGAAATACAGGCATTCTGACTGTGAGCGGTTTGACCTCTCCACAGATCTGCCCTGTAACTTGGCCTGGTTTAATCTCCATGAAGAAGAGACAGATTTAATATCATACTGTGAAACATTCCAGGCAATAACATCTCCATGTAGAAAAGCTTTTGCCAGACCCTCCACCTGAAAATATACACAATGCACCTTTAACAAAAAACGTAATAAAGACTAAGTCCTGAACAAGCTAAAGAAATCAACAAGCACAGAATGAATTAGACACAAGTAGGGCTGTAGTCCTTTAGTTGATGAATTTGTCTAAGGAGTCTTCGTGAACCAATTTTTAAAATTTGTCCACTAATTATTTTATTATGATTAAAAAGATTTATGTGTGCAGCAACAGCGAATAGGAGAAAGCATGGAGTCATTTAGCTAGACTTTTGGGAGTGATCGGATAGTTAAACATGTCTTTTCACTTGTAGATATTATTTACTAGTACTTCTATATACCTCATTGTTTGTACACAAGATCCTAATGATTTTGAGAGCTTTTCCCAGCCCCCTTTTAACAGCTTAATCAATGCATGGTGAATGTCTGTAGTCCAAGAATTTCTTTAGTTGACTCCAGAAATAGACAGCGGCTTTGTCCACATGCCCACCAAAATCTGATTATAATCTGATTCTGGACCTTAAAGATAATTTAAATGACACACAAATGGTTATATTTGATGTAAATAATCAGAGGGACCGTGACATTTGAGTGTGCATGAAACCAAAGCCACTAATATTGTCAGCAGTCATTTCCAATAAACATTTTGTAGTGGCAATCAGTAGGGATGCTGATCCCTGATTTTTCAGTGCCAGTACTGAACGATATTCATACTATGTCTTTAAGTATTTGCCGATTTATCTGATATTATCGGATACCAGTGTAGGGACTGAAAATGGCATTTATTTCTCTCAAAATACAATTAACTGATTACAAAATGCATCTGATTGTGTTATGTAACTCTTATGTATCCTACAAGTAACTACTGAACGAATGAATGAATTAAACAAACATTATATGTCCTGGGCCTACATCAGTCAGTAAAGAGTCCAACCAGGATATCGACTGAACAGATTTCATGGAACCGATACCCGATACAGCTATATTTACTGGATCTTCGATAGTGTAAGTACTAATGCATCCCTAGTAATCAGTAGTCTGTGAGTAAGATAAACAGTGAAAATCCCATTTGGTTTTCTAGAAGGAAGTAGTCGGGTTTGTCAGCAGTGAAACAAGATCCAATTAGCCAGCACAACACTTGGCATTGTCTTTGTCACTCACAGCCTGTATTGGACATGCCAGGCTGCTGCCCTTCATATACCCCTGTGTGTGTGAAGGAGAGGAAGGCAGCAATACGTGGATACTGTTGTGGAGCATGGCCTAGAAACGCACTTGGAGGAGGGGCAGGAGTCATCCAATAGGTCTGCGGCCCACCTTTTGACATATGCCACTGCTCCACACTGCACGCCCACCCGCTCAATGAGAGAGACAAAAAACTCAGCCATTTTAGTCTCACGATTAATGGTTTCATTCAAAAGACGAAAAGAAAGGATCAGTCAAAACATTTACTCTGAAAATCAGTGCTGTGAATCACATAATTATAGCAGTGGCTTGAATAGTGTGTAATGTGTAGAATCTGTTATTATATGAAGCTAATGGACTGTCGAAATGTGTACTTGAGTAAAGAACATATTAATTGTAGAAATAAAAAAAAAAAATATATATATATATATATATATATATATATATATATATATATATATATATATATATATATATATTAAATTTATAAAAAATATATATTTTGTGTTATTATTTAATCTTTTATTTAAGATACAGTATAAAGTAATATTTTTTCACTGTGTAGTTAATGAGTTAATTGTAATTCATGTGCGTAATATTTTTATTTACTTGCACTTTTTAGTATATCTCTGACTCAGGGATTGAAATAATATGAAAAAAAATTATAAATAAAAAATCTGTAATCTGAATTTTGGCAATATTGCCTCCACTAAAAATAACATGTTTAATTATAAATGTCATTGTTTTTAACATAAGTTAACATTATTACAGATGTTGGCAATGCAGCTCTATTCAGCATACTATAAATAAACAAGATGATGAAGATATTCAATGATCAAATTAATTTGGGTTCATGTAACTGATGATCACCCACTCCTGTTTGACAGTAATGGCGAGGTGTTAAGAAAGAAGTTGTTTCCTGGATGTAGCTGAAATGAATGGTCTGCATCATCAGGCCTGTTTGTCTCTGTTAATTAAAGGATCAATAAAGCCCTGAGTGATAAATTAGAAGCTGATCTGTGCTGTGTTTAAAACTACTGCCAGATCGAGATGCAACCGACCACAACAAACCTGCGAAGCCTCAAACTGGAGATAAGGTGAAGAAGAGGAGGCTCAAAAGATTTCATTGTTTCAAAAAAGATACAGCGCATGCCATTTTTGTTGTTATGTTGATAGTTTAGTAGGAGCCAGGTACCACTTTATAATAACTACACTTAATAATGATTAAGAATGAATTATGCTTTGTAACTACTTCATTATAGAGGCTAGGATTAGGGTATTGTTTAAAGGTGCTCTGCATAACATTTCTAGTGCAGTGTTCGCCACCTGCTTATCACCATGTGATTCTTATTGCTTTGTGTAGAATGTTCCACAGTATAGATTAAACCTATCTATCATGAGGGTGGAGTGGAGAGTCGTCCCTATTCACAGAATTAATTATTGTATTTTTGAGCAACAGAAACACCCCTAATGAATAAATGCTAGATGGATGTGTTTAATGTCATACCGTGGGACATTCCAGGCAAAGCAATGACATCTCCATGGACCCTTCACCAAAAAAGTTGCACAGTTCACCTTTAATTCTGGTCTGATCTTGGAAGATAATTAGAATTAGGCCTGGGTAATACTGGATGGGAGACCACAGGGAATACCAGGTGCCTTTGTATGAGGTAGCAGTGTCAAGAGTGCATAATGTTGTTGTGTTCTTAAGCAAGACACTTCACCCACCTTATCTATGTGTGAAAGTGGTGTGGGAGTGAGTTATTGTTATTGTTGTGAGTTATTGGTACAGATAAGCAGCCTTTCTTAAAAGTGCATTGTGCAACTTTTCTGGTGGAGGGTATACCACATTTTTGTCTTCTATGAGATGTTATTGCTTTGCTTGTTGTTTTCCACAGTATGATATTAAAAGACTATTGTACTGTTCAGAAATATCTTTAAGAACATGCATTCTTGTGTGAGCAGGCCCGCCTCTCCACTGAACTGATCTGTACCTTGGCCTGCTCACCTCCATGGAGCTAGATTAAGTTTAATGTCGTACTGTGAAACATTCCAGGCTGAATAGTTAAGTACATTATATTGTAGAAAATGATATATAAGCAAATTAAAACATCATACACCGATTGCAAATCTATCTGGAAAACAAGTTGGGGATCATTGAAGGAACCGGCCAGTGGCAACTGACTCCTGGGCTTCACTGATGATGTGTGAAATGAAGTTTAAATGTGCTACATTACAGAAAATTGACTTTTGAGAGCTTTAAGCCATGTTCGAATGTTGTTACCTTCACCAAAAACATATTTAGAGTTGCGTTTTGTATCATTCACACATGTTTGAGTAATCCTATTTTTAGTCTGTCTTCATCTTCAAAGCTCAAAATGCTCTGTTGCTGCTTGTGATGTCATGAAGTGGTAGTTTTCAAGTTAACAGATACCTTTTACCTTTTGTGTAGTAAAGATTGGCAATTCCAGAGCTGAAATTATCCAATTGATTTTAGTGAAAAACACAGTGAAGCATTGTATTACCACATGACGTCACAAGGTGGAACAGTGAAGAGTGTTTTCTGTTTGAGAGAAGAACTAAATATGCAGGGTTTGTGTGTTAAATATGTGTGAATGAAACAAAACATAACTCCAGGTATGTTTGTGAAGAGAAAACATTATAACTGGTCCGGAAATAGCGTAATATATATGTACTGCTGCAGTCTCTCATTTGTATTGCTTCAAAGCTCTTTTCTTTCCCTTGTCTCTACAGGAAGCAAGGCCAAAGACAGCGTGGGCACAGGTGAGTCTAATTGAGCTGAACTGGCGACATTGAAACACCATATCTGTCCAGTCCAAATAGTTCATTAGTTCAACAGTTAGTGGGTGAAAACCATAAAGGCACTGCAGTGGAGGGGTGGGGCCTGGTGCTCGTTATATGTGATAATCAACTGGAAAACTGAAGAAAGCTAAAACCTGACACCACCTAGATGTGGTACTGTAAATCTGTCTTTTGAACCAGTACAGATATAGTTACATGTGGAGAGTACTAGGGATTAAATGGATTTATATGCACAAGTGTTAAAATTAAGGAGTATGGGGTAATCTGTTTTAAGATTTGGGAGTGAGTTTAAGCAGTCTTTTTTGTAAATATATAAATACACCATATCCTAGTATTTTTCTGTTTAAATATTTGTTTTTACCTGAAGTCCCCTGCAGTTTGGGTCAGATCCCCTTTTTAGGAGACAAGTCGACCATCTCTTTAGTCAACCAATAATTTTAGTCGACTACAGCCCGAGTGTATACTGTGTATGTGTATAGTGTGTACAGTGTGTGTGTATGTATAATGTGTGTGTATGTAAAATGTGTGTATATATATAATGTGTGCTTGTTTCCAGTGGCTGAGAAGACCACTGGGGCCATGGGGAACATCGTCGCTGCCACTGGACTGGGGAAGAAGGACGAGTTCCCAACTGACATGAACGTACGTACCACCAACGAGTGTCACATTTATATGATCACAACTTAGTAGGGGTGTCAGAAAATCAAAACACAAAAACTGCTTAAATGGCATGCCTTATCAGTCTCATAAAGATATAAAGTACATCCCCTTTAGATGCAAATGGAGGTTCCCTAAAGTAACAAAATAATAATGTCAGCCTTTTCTTTAAATGCTGAATACTAAATACAAATCTATGGATAACACAAGCATCTCCATATTTTCCTTACAGCTATGTTTCAGTAAGTCAAGAAATTGCACAAAAAGTATGGAGCATACATTGTATAAGAAAAACAGTTCTTAGTGACTAATGACATTAGCTGGTGCTACTAATCAGCTCCAGGTCTTTGTTTTGAAGAGACCTAGTTTTGACAGAGAAAGAGAAAGAGAAAGAGAAAGAGAGAGAGAGAGAGAGAGAGAGAGAGAGAGAGATCAGAGTAGGAGAGGGGAAAAAGGGAGAGAGAAAGAGCTAGCCAAACTCAGGTCTCACTTACAGTTGGCAGAAGGCTGAGGGCTCTGGTCATTAAAGTCTGGACCGGACACGGCTCTGGACAGCAGGGAGACATATGAGCTAATGAATCCTAACACGCACTGCTGTCGTCTCTTCTCTGTAGAAAGAAAGAAATGGTGGAAAGACAGAGACAATAAATGTGATTATGCACTTTTCAGTTGTGATTTAGGGTGTGTTTATATTTCTCCTGGTTGGTTCCTAATTTGATCCCAGTTTAGTCCTCATGGTAGACCTGGTTTGGTCCTGTTCTAGTCCTGGTTTAGTCCAGAATTAGTCCAGGATTAGTTTTACTCCCAATGCTGATGTGTCCTATCTGTGGATTTTATGTCTGGTCTTAAGTTGTCTTGCTTTACCCAATCCAGCTGTGGAGAAGTAGGAAACTCTCTTGTATTGGGTGTGTTTAGTTAGTGTGGGTGATACTGATAAAAGTTAATGATGCATTGCGCAACTTGGGTCCATCACCTGCTTGTCTCCATGTTATTGCTTTGCCTAGAATGTTCTACGGTACAGATTAAACCTAAAACTATAGGCTTCATTACAGATCAGATATGTGGAGAGGCAACCCTATTCACAGAGAGAATTTTTGTATTTTTGAACAATACAGTAGAAACTCTTATAATGAATAAATGCACCTTTAATATCTCTATTTTTGAGCATCCCGATAAGGATATTCAGATGAAATTAACATTTGCAAACAATTGAAGTTATGCCTTGTATTATTTTTGTGAACTGTGGATATCCAGTAGACAAACGTGCAGAATATTCCATGAGCAGTCACTATCAGTCACTACTTTCTAATACAGGACTGAGTTCTGTATCTGTGAACCTCTATAACAAATAGACCAAATTAGCATAACTAAAATTAAACAGACTTATACTTAATAAGTGCGTATGCCTATAGGTCACAGAGGATTGATTGCTGGTTGAGTTTCTGTCCATAGATCTGTCGTCACTCTTTAAGGAGGCCTCATTCACAGGGCGCTTTAATTGACCTCAACAATCTGGCCATGGGACTATCATCTTTCTCTGTCACATGACGTTTCCATTATAGCTCCTCTTTGCTAAACCTATTGACCTTAGAAAATGTCACCACTCTGAACCCCCTGCTCCTTTTCTGCTGTTACGAACTACTGTGATTGGAAATAGAAGAGATTTGTACTGTGCTGTATGTTTTTTAAATGAAAGAATCAAGAAAGAAAAATTAAAGTTACCACAGCAATGTTGAGTTCTCCCACTGTACTGGTCCACAGAAACATAACATTAGATAAGAGAACTAATCATTGTTCCATAAGGACCATTGCAAGAGCAGTATGTGAACAAAAATATGCATTATCAAAAATCATTAACTGTTAAAAGCAGATTTGACTCTAACATAACACAAGTAGAGCAAAAATATGAAGGCTACAACACTATTCGACACAATAATCAATTAATCAGACTTTATTTATAGAGCCCTTTACAGCACTCAAGGTGACCAAAGTGCTTTTCAATAAAATCAATACAATAAAATAAAAATAATAATATGTGGCTATGTTTATGTACAGGGCAGAATAAATAGCAGTAAAGTAGAGTGAAATGTTCCAGTGGTGAATCACATTATGTTACAGTATTGCTCTTGGAGGCGGAGCACACATGCAGGGGCTTGCAGTGTTCATTGTACGGGAAAGAAAAGGAAATACCCCTGGAATCTCTTCTTCACACAGCAAGCCCGGTTAATTTGAGCAGTTGAGTTTTGATCAATGCCAAAAAAGTGATCTCTTTTCCAGTTGGGGATGTTGCTCTCAGTCCAACAATTTCGTTCGATTTACAAAACACAAACAGACCATAGAGCAAAACAAAATCAGGAAGTGTCTCACACTGAGAGACACATGGAGGCTCAGAGTCAAAACAAACGCTGGTGTGGAGATCCATAATGAGAAAAATGGCATGCAATGATGTGAAAGTAGCAGGAGCAGGTCAAAGTCTGATTTAATTATAATCATGCAAAAATATATTATTGTTCCCAGGGGTCCTTGTTGCCAGCCCCAAGTGGTATCTGACATTGGCACCAATACTGAGAAATGTGATGTATCAGCCAATATCCTAGTTTGGCATATAAATTGATGTAATAAGACTATTTACTGGTCATAATTGGCCTAGAAAGTCTCATAATGTTTAAACTTTTTTTATGCAAAGTTGCTCTATAGTTACTTGAGATTAATAACCATTACATTACACATTTGGATTTATGTTATTTTATTTTTGTATAAAGGAAATAAATGCTGTTTTCAGTCGCTGCACTGGTATCAGTTGATATTGGGAACTGACATACTTAAAGCTATAAGTCAAAATCGGTATTGGAACTAAAAAAAGCTCTTGGATTGTGCACCCCTAGTCCTAATAATATGTAGAAAATAGCTATAGAATATTAGTATAATTTATAAACCTTGGTAATTCAACACACTCCAAACTCATACATAGTCCAATGAGATTCATTTGGTCTTCCAATATTCTATGTTATTAGGTTATTTTTTTCAGACCTAGAGTGTTATTTCATACCTGACAGTTTCGACTGCTCACTAGCGTCTTCGTCAGAGTGGTCACGTGATGTTGCTGTGATGTGTCCGGTCAGCTGATTTAAACAGGTTTTGGCGCTGTCTTCCTACCGGTGGAGGCAGGACGACAGCGCCATCTGCAGTCCGACTTCCTCAGGATAGCATCCCAGATGTGTGAGAGTAAAAAAGCCCCCTCATCCCGGTTTACAGTCCTGTGGGCACGTTTCCGTATTTCGATTGCTTCTTTAATCCAGCGGCGATGTTTTCCCAATGTTTGTATGCCCGATCCATACATCGGGGAAACAGGGAGGGCGTTCAGTACACGAAAAAAGGAACAGAGAACAGAATGCAAGAAGGAAACAGCGAAGGCGTGCACACGAGCAACAAAACACAAAGCAGAACAGGAACAACTCAAATCGGCCATTTCTGACCATTGTAAAAGAGAGAACCACGTTATGGATTGGGATGGAGCAGACATCATTGGGACAGAGGAAAACAAAACATCACTCTCACACACCTGGGATGCTGTCCTGAGGAAGTTGGACTGCAGATGGCGCTGTCGTCCTGCCTCCACCGGTAGGAAGACAGCGCCAAAACCTGTTTAAATCAGCTGACCAGACACGTCTCAGCAACATCACGTGACCACTCTGAGGAAGACTCTAGTGAGCAGTCTAAACTGTCAGGTATGAAATAACACTCTAGGTCTGAAAAAAAGAACCTAGTAACATACAAACTCATACATGCCCACTGTACACCCATAGAATGCATAGAATGGCTTATGTCTGACAGTTTGATTAAAATCTTCCTCTTGTTCGTGGCGCTGTGTCTTGATTGTCAACGCGTTGTCAGGAGGTTAACAAGGTCTTGCTGTCAGGGCTGTCAGGGTGTCAGGAGTGGTCTAGACTGGTGCTAAACCCACTGTACTCAGACTGGACCCTCTCCTCTGACTCCCTAATCTAGAATTTCTGAGAGCCTGCAATAATGAGCTTATTCTTTGAGCCATTGAGGTGAAAAAAGTACTCATTCTCATTTTAACATCTGACAACATGTTCTGACAGTTGTACATGACCTCTGACCCTCGCACTAATCAATATGCACTGAAATGCCATATTTATTATCTAAAACTCAAAACTGCAATTTAAATGGTCCCAATTTGCAAAGACCACAATTATACAATTAACAATTTGCTCTGTAAAAAAATAAATAATTAATAATAACCCTGGACTTAAATCTATACAAGCTGTTCTGAAAAGCATAGGGTTCTTGTTTAGTGGTTCAGAGTTCAGTTTTGTAACAAATGTTAAGTGTCCGCTTTGGTCGGGGCCTGTCACCTGCTTGTTTCTATGGATACGTGATTGCTCTGCCTGAAATGTTCCACAGGGAGAAACAGCTCTACCTTACATTTATTCAATTACAATTGGTTTTATTGCTCAAAAATACCTACCATACATTCTAACTGTGAGCGAAATTGCCTCTCCACAGATCTAATCTTTAAATTAGTCTGGTTTGGTCTCCATGAAGATAGAAAGGTTTAATACCATACAGTGAAACATTCCAAGCAGCAATAACGTTTCCCTGGAGAAAAGAATTTGACAGACCACAATGCACCTTTAAAGCAAAACCCCAAATTTAATCTCAACTGCGGTGTTTGTCAGAATTGCTTGTTTGTTTAATTGTTCTTAACATGTTCACATATTTCCCTTGTCTTAATATGTGATAGTTATGTTTTTTGAGAGAAGGCTCCTCTCAGTCTGCTTTGTGGACACTTGAGTGCCCTTCTATTGATGTTGGTGGGCTAACACTACAGAGCCTGTTTCACACATGGGATTATAGACAGTGTCCTGACCTAATTGACTTGATTAGAGCAGTACTTAAAAATAAATGATGACCCACTAGTTTGGTTTCCAGGGCTCACAGCGGCAGGTGCACTCACAAGGAGCTGCTTCTGTCTTTTACATCACACATCATAATGTTGAGACAAGAGTTGTTTTTTTTTTCAGTTTGTGATAACCAATATTAAAAGTGGAACATGTGAACCTCTATAGGCTCACAACACATATACATCAATGCAGGTCTGGCTTCATGCAAAATACAAAAAGTTAAGACTGTAAAGATAATTTCCTAGTTAGGAACCACATAAAAATAAGGGGAACAAAACAGCCCAAAGGCATCTATAGCCTTCAGAAATTGCATACTACCATCGCATGAGAGGAATGAATGATGACAGATTAGCAGCCTGTTAAGCTTGTAAATATGAAATTTAAATACAATCCATTAGTTATACATTATTCTTTATGTGAATATATACTGTAGGGTATATTAAAATGATATTAAAATAAACCATTGTTTTATTGACTTAGTAGTATATAGAGTTTCAGAAACAAATTATAAATAAAATTATAGGTCTTGTGATCATTAGTTATGACATCTGATAAGCCCCAATCCAGCTTTCAAATTTTAATATTATTTTTTCACTGTTGAGCTGTCCACCATTGATCGTCTCTTTCTGTTCCCTGTGTCTTTTTATGTGTTGTGTTTACTGTATGATTGCATTAAAACCCCCTGTATCTGTGTTGCAGCCTGAGGAGTATGGGCAGGAGGCCATGGAGGGCCAGGGGGAGGCCATGCTAGAGCCAGAAGGGGAGACATATGACGAGTCCCAGCAGGTAATCAGCTCTCACGACCAGCTCTGTGTGTACCACTTCTCTGCTACAGCCCCGCTCTTCTTACAGGCCTGTTTGCCCATTACTCTAACTGTAAATACGGTGGTGTACTTTCAAATATATTCCACTGTATTCCTGAAATGTCTGTCTTATACTGGATGTTACAAGGTACAAATATTGTTTAGGAATCACAACACAAAGGACATTTAAAGAGGGGATATATGGCTAAATTAATTTTTCAAGCTTTCCATCATGTTGTAACATTGTTTCCTTAACAAAAACATGCCTGAAGTGGTTTTAGATGCTGTTTGTGCATGTTTCAGTAATTTAGCGAGCTCTCCCGCCCTATTCGAACCCTCCTTTTTGATAGGTGTGAGATTCTGTCCAGTGCTCTGCCCACAAACCTTCCCATGCTCCCACACAACAATTCTCCAGAAATATACAAAAGCATGAAACAAAAGTGTACACATAAACTTGACAAACCTAATGCAATGTTCTGTAGATTAATTCGCGAGAAGCACTCTGAATAAAAGGTAACATGGTGATCTAAATATATTATTATGTGTTAGCACTTAATACCCCATCGAATAATATACACAGATTTGTACTGATTGCTAAAGTTGCTTGTGGTCCAAATATGCAACTAACTAAAGATACACTATGTAACTTTACTGGTGAGTGATCTGCCACCCTCCATGGAAAAAGTACCTTGAACAATATAGGGTCTTCTCTCCACAGATCCGACCTGTAACTTGACATAGTAGGTGTCACTGGCTTGTCATTAAATAAGTATGAGACTTAAGGAGACAAGCAGGTGACCGACCTTATAAAAGAAAAGTTACATAATGCCATTTTTATTTAGTTTTAGAAAAGAAAATATAGAATTAAAATCAACAATTGAAATAGATCAACATGAGGAAAAACAAAATACATTTTTGTTTAGTTTTTCTTATCATTCAGGGCTATATATGGGTACAGGAAACATAATAATTCGATTATATAACTTGATGTCATCCACCTCTACCTTACAGTCTCTTTAAATAGATTTCCAGAAGCCAATAAAGACCCATTCACACACAGTAGCTCCTCATTACTATTCAGTGTTTAATATCTGCATACATCTCAACAGTACTAAACCTCTGGCCTCTGCCTCATCCCACACACATTTACAGTGCTTTGTTCTCCCTGGGAAATAAGATGAGGTCTCCACCAGCCAATCGCCCCATACTGACTATAGTGATAGATGAATATAGCACCACCCACCCCTGCCTGTGCGAACCGGTGTGCGTTTAGTCTCACACAAAAAGTATTTTTAGATTTTGGCTGCAAAGGAAGAGACAGTAACAGTACAGGAAATAGTGGCTTGGAAAGACATCTTAAATAGAATACACTGGTATAAATAACACTTAAGGGTGTTGAAATGTATAGGGGAATGAGTAGTGTGTATTAATATCAATGGCCATATTATGTTGCTATTTGTTTCCATACAGTAGGTTGGGAGGTTAGTTTCAGATGATGTCATAAACTGCGAAGTTGCTCAGATTTTGAAAAAATTGGTGACTTTATGGTTTACCTGTGAAAATTTAACCTGGTTCTAGATCACTCAAAATTGATTCTTGTGAGCATTTAGTAATGCTATAATGCTGTTACCTCATCAAAAATGTAACTGGAGTTGTGTTTTGTTTCATTTACACATGTTTGATTAACTTTTATTATTAGCCTGTCTGCATTTCCAAAACTCAAAATGCTCTGTCCCATCTTGATGTCATGAAGAGGTAGTTTTCAAGTTAACAGCTCCATTTACTTTTAATTCAGTAGAAATGGTCAATTTCAGAAGTGAAATTATCGAAATGATTCTAGTGATGGTGTGTGGAGTTTAGAAGCACTTCCTGTATTACCACATGACATCACAAGGTGGAACAGAGTGTTTTCAGTTTGAGAGAATTACTTAGCCTAAATATTCAGGGTTTGTGTGTTAAACATGTGTGAATGAAACAAAACACAACTCCAGGTATGTTTGTGATGAGGAAAGAACATTATAACATAGATAGGGTAATATGAGCCCTTTTAAAACTCTGTAACTACTAAACCTATGTCCACTTATAACAAACCCTGAGAAGTGTTCAACATTACATCATCAGAGCTGTCTATACAAATGAACTAAGGAGTTTTTAATTTCACAATAGCTTTAAAAAGTGGTGGCATTAATCCATTGTTCAACATATGAACACATTTCAGGGTGCATTCACTCTTGTCTTGACTGGGTCTTGGTTTGAACCCAATTTGAGGCCTTACATAAACTGGGCTGGTTCTGTTCTAGTCCTGGTTTAGTCTTTGTAGAGCAAATGTGAATGTGCTTGCTCGCTCAGTCTGGAGAATTATTTCAAAAACAGTGGATGGCTCCATAAGGACGTATAGACCTCTTCACCTGAAATTATGTCACTGAATTCTAGAAAGCAACCTATTATGAATAGATTTGTATTTAGAGTGCTTGAATCTTATCTAACTAGTTGTATCTCAATACCTCCTGGGACTGGTCTGATCTGTTTCTCTGTAATAATTATAATGTTTCAATCAAAGGTTCTTTTTTGGGTGCACTATATGGTACAGTAGTAATTTAAAATACATTTAGTTTTAATTACAGATTTTTTGCATGCTTTAATATGCTTTATATTTATAAGATATAGGACCTGTTTTAGTCCCAAATTCATTGTAGTTCAATAAAGATGGCATTTGAAAAGTTTGATAGAGACGAAAGATTCATGTAGGATTTCCATATGGGTTGGTTACTAATACAAAAAAACGCGTATTTGTTGTATTTGAAATTACAATTTGACCCTAAAGTGTAATGTTGCCTATAGTAAAACCAGGAATTAGTTCAAAGTTGGTTAAATCTGTATAATATAATAATGTCTAGACAATTTTCAGTGGAGCTTGGTGTGGCTGGTGCCTTCATCCTGGGTCTGTGGATGAATCATTTAAGCAGTTAAGGGACGTAAATTAAAATTTCTTGTTGGCTGTGTGTCCTGCATCCTCCTCCGCAAACCCACTCCCCTCCCCCACTCCTCCTACCCCCTCCCACCATCACCACACCATCCGCGTCTGGATGGGTGTGGCGATGACGCACTGGGCCCAACTGCATCATGGGTAAATGTCAGAATATGGATCTCCAGTGCTGCGGTGAGGGAGAGGAGGCAAAGATGTGTTTTTAAAATGTTGTTTATGATTTAAGTGACTTCTCTTTCCTGGAGGCTCTGCTGGTTTGCATGTTTTCATAGTTCCATAGGTTACATGTTCCGAGGGTGATTGAGGAGGAGGATGCAGGAGCCTGGGAGGATGAGGGAATGTACTCACGACACGTCCTTGAAGCTGTAAAAAAGGGTGTGCTGCCATCTGCTGGACAAACACGATCTGGCACAAGAGATAGTGACATCACCATTATCCAGTGCAGTTAAAGTTGAAATTGTTGCCTAAATAGCTTTCTCACAAATAACAAAGATGCCAATCATTATGTCATCTATGCATCTTTTTTTTTTTTTATATTGTGCCTTTTTATATCCCAGGCAACTAAGCAAATGTTATTAGCCTATATTTTATCACACAGATAGAACCAGGCCAAAGCAACTATTACTGTGTTTTAATATCGTACCATATGCGCTTTTATGGCGCATTGCATAAAATATAATACAATCTTATGGGACTTAATGGGTCGACCCTGCTGTCAATTTTCAATAAAGGCACTTCTGTTATCATCTATAATGTATAATATATGTACTAACAAATTCCATAAGAGGGTAAAGTGGTGGAGAAGCGTGATATTCTTGTTAAATGCATTATAGGTTAAAGGTGCACTACATAACTTCTCTGTTGGATTGTGCGCCACATACTTGGCTCCAGGAAAATGCTATTGCTTTCCGTGTAATGTTCCACTCTCCATGGAGACAAGCAAGAGATGCTAGCAAACCAAATTTCAGGTCACATCTGTGGCGAGGTGACCAATCCATAGTAAGAACGTAATGAAATTCATGCAAGAACATCCCCATCGAGACAAACAGATGGCAGTTGCATAGCACACCTGTTAAATGTTACACCACAATAATCTAACTGATTTAAGTTTGGCAATTGCAAATAAATTTGTGATTTTTCTCTTCAAATACAGATTCTGTTTGGAGTGCACATTTTAAATACTTAACATCTGAGAAAATACTGTTTTATATATATACACTGTTACAATTCAAAACACAATAGAAAAACTATATCATATTCTGAACAATTTTGTCAAGGTTTATTTTCACTTCCAGCTAAAATCCCAAACTAACCATATATATATATTTGTTTTGTTTCCAGGAGAGCCAGGACTACGAACCAGAGGCGTAAAAGCATGACTCCAAGCCACCATCCAACCAGCAGCACAATAATATTTCTAATAATAACAAGGACAAATACTGATACAATTCCAATTACACCCCTGTTGCAAAAAAAGAAAATCTAAAAAGACAAGCATTCCCACTGAAAATGTTCTTCCTTCGAGACAAATCTTTTATTATTATATATTGTAAATGTCATGTTATCAATGTACTGTGTTTGGGTGTAGGTATTTATTGAACTATAGAATGTCCCGCCAGTCTCAGTTCCTTGTTTCCCTCCCAATGAATTGAGACCAGTGCTGGGGCTTGTGACTTTGTATTTGTGTGTATCTGTATTTAGAAGTGTGCAATAGATGTTCATCAGCTTCCAATGGAAAACGTTGGGAGTGTAAAAAATAATTATGTTCGGTTGCAAGCAGTTATGAATACAATAATATCCTCTTATAAGTGTCGACAATGCCTGTTCGTGGATAATTTTGATTTCTTTTGCTTTTCTTTGGAGACCGTTTTTGGAGTAAGATTTTTTTTACATTGTATCTTTCTAGTTGCTTGTGATCATTCCAGTAAATCTGTTAGAAATGGACAAAGTATACATGTTTGTGTGCGTGTGTTGGTGTGAAGGTTTTAAAGTCGATATATTATGTCTTGATCATAATGGTTGTCATATCACTATGTGCTTTAAATTGCAGGACTTGTCCATATAAAGGTTTATGTGTAAAGCCAGACATATGATTCCTCTGTAAATAAAAACTAAAAAGAAAACCACTTTTTGGCTTTTGTTGATATCAACTGACATTCAATTTGAACCATAAATGGTGTATTCTTAAACATCTTAATGTGTGATGGTTAACATTATACAGCTCTGCCACCAAGGAAGTTTTTTTTTTTTTTCCCTGGGCCTGCATTCTTTCTTCTGAGTTGTCTTCTGCTGTGATTGTAGAATTGTAGAATATTTATCAAGCACTTTTATTCTCAAGAGTGGTTTATGTTGTTTGTTTTTTTTATTCACTTAATTGGTAGGATAGTATTGTAGCCACAGCTGCCTTAGGGTAGACTGAAGAAAGGGAGATAGCAAATCTGCAGCATTGGCCCCTACAACCACCATTAATCACATACACTCTAGATTTTTATAAGGCAAGGTGGGTGAAGTGTCTTGTTTAAAGACAAAACTGCAGTATGCACTATGCATTCCCACTTGTCTCCCATCCCATTACTATCCAGGGTCTGGTTAGTACTATCAGCCTATGCTCTGACAGATTGAATACTACCTAAATTATAATATTTCGTTTGCTACAACTCCTAATATTTAACAAACTATGCACTCCTGGTGAAGAGTCCCACACTTTCTGTTCTAAATGTTTTTGGTTGGTCAGTGTTATTTTCCCTTTTCTTTTTGCAGCTCTGTCCTGGTTTGGCTCGCAGAATCTGCTGAGCACGCACTGGGCCCATAGTTGAGATGCCAGTCTGAGGGAGCTGGTTTGTTTGGGTTAATCCTCTGCTCTGTCCCATCCCAAACAGAGAGTATAAAGCTCCACTGTGCTCCATTGGAACAAAACAGACATGGCCTCATTCAAGAAGTCCTTTGAGGGCCTCAAGAGCACCAGCCACTCTGCAGCTAAAGAAGTTACAGACAACACAGGTAATGCAAACAAAAAACTGTGAAATATGCTTTTAAAAATGTGTAGCGGGCTATATAAAGTGCAAAATAATGGTTTTCATCTTTTTCTAATCAGGCTATTAAAAAGTAGTTGTGTGTTCTAATAAGGAATATCTCTACCTGCGTCATTAACAATAAAAATTCCATCTAAAATGCAAGGACAGTTTAAGTCTAATGCAGTAATTGTGCAGTTTAGACAAGCTTTGGTCCATTAATGTTATGGTTAGGGAACAGTATGGCATTACTTCTATGTATGTTATATTAACTGCCCATGTCAAACCAGGAAGTAAAATGATAAACTTTACCACAATTAAAGGGACGATATTACACTATTTTCTGATCTGTTCTGATCTGATAATGTTGTTTCCTCAAAAACATAACATAACAAAGTTCAATGGAGCATTTTGAGCTTTGAAGATCTAGACAGATTAATAATAAAGGGTTACTAAAATTTTTAAAATATAATTATGTTAAGTATCTTTTAGTGAAACCACTGGTCTAACCTGTTACTTGAATGTGTTAAAGTACAAGCTGCTCAAGAGGCAGTGCAGCAGATGGCAGACTCCTCCAAAGAAACAGTGAATGCAGGTACGTCTTTACACTATTATTGGGCTTTCCTTTTATAGATATGCTTGTGATTATTTCTCCCAACTACACATCGCCCAGCTGGGTATTTTTGACTCACTTCACACTGCACTATCTCTGGCCTGATTCATGTAACACAGATTTTGATAAAGCAGCTGTTTTGAATTTGTATTTCATGAGGTGTCACAAATGTACTTCAGATGACATCATAACATTTATACCATCTAAAAATATAGTTAAAAAGCACATTTTATTGTAACATTGTAAGTTCTTAGGTCTGGTCACTATAATAGTAATGATCAGGTTAAGTCACTTAATTAAACCTGAATCATTTTTAAAGTTGCACTGTGTAACTTTTCTGGTGGAGAGTCTGCCACCTGCTGGCCTCCATGGAGATGTTTCTGTTTTGCTTAGATTATTCCATAGTATTGAAATAAACTTGGTAATCACATTGGAGACAGGTTAAAGATCAGATCTATGGAGAAGCAAGCAAGAACATGGTAAGAATGAATGTTTTTAAAGGTATTTTTGAGCTATAAAACACCTGTAACTGAACAAATGCAAGGGAGATATGTGTAATGCCCTACTGTGAAACATTCCATGCAAAGAACTAACATCTTCATGGAGACAAGCAAGTAGAGGACCCTCCACATTAGAAATTACATAATATACCTTTAATGAAGGATTTGTTAATTATGACTATAGTCTTTGTCCATGCTTTATTAGGGCTAATTAACATGTAGGTATCAAATAACATTGATATGATGGCTCATAAAAACACCATGTCACTGAGACATCATGTCACTGAGACATCATGTCATACTTCATCGCCTTTACACTATATATGACTCAGATCAGTTTAATTGAGTTTCACAAAATATTGTTTAGCATTTTGACACATAGCTATAATTGCTTGTTTTAAAACTGAGCTTTAGATTGAATTCCATTAAATCCAGTTGTATTTATCTTATCTTCACTGCAGCTGCCCAGGAGCTGAGCAGGCAGACCCAAGTCTCCATCGGCAAAGCTGCGGATAAGGCCTCTGATAGCATCAAGGACTTTGGCCAGAGTCTGCACACAAAATGATCTGTAACTTAAGAAGAACTAAAAAAAAGAAATGGGTCAGAAATGCATATGGCATCCATGAAAAGTCACTAAACATATTTTAGTACATTCCAGATCCTTAACCTTGTATTTTATTTTTTTAAATAATGTTTTATGTGAATATTTTGTGAAATAAAAGTCTATGGTAGGCTAATACAATGCATTTGATGTGTTTATTTAATTATTTAGGCTAATTAATGTATTTTATTTATCTATGGTGGAGCATATTTGCATATGCTTGCATATTTTAATAGTGAAAACAAAATACAGCTAACATATTTTGAAATGATTTAGGCTCGTGCAAACTGTGCTAGTTTAGAATAAAACTTGAGTCATAACAGCGACATTCCCAGGCTAACGCACGTGACGCAGCGCAGGAGGAGGAGGCCTGAAGGTGCGCTCGTGGGTCCTACCATAGCCCTGAGAAGCACGCGCACACCTCCCACCCTACAGCAAACGGGTTACTATGACAACGCAGCAGCGCGTGCAGATTGGTGGAGAATTTTGAAACGGCACCGAGAAATCCTTGTGCATGAGTGAGTACAATCTGTCCTCTCATCTCCAGTGTCACACATACTGTAAAAACAAGAAAAAGGTTGAGCTGGGGGAAATAAAACAGAAGACACAGTAATTAGCCGAGGGAAAATGGCCGCAGTTTCTCCGGAGTGTAGCTGAGGAGCACGGAGTTGGAAAGAGTGTTGAGCGAGTGTGGGCGGCACAGCGCGGCTTCCTCAGGGTTCCTTCTTCAACTCGACTTTTATGTTCTTAACAGAAGAAAAAACAACATGACGCTCCTATTATACATTGTTTCAAAGAGCACACTATAGATAATAGGTTGTATTATACAAGAAAAAAAAATGCTAACACTGAAATCATAGCAAACCTATGGTGTGGCACATTTGGACTACGTTTTTTTTTTTTTTAGAGGTGTCCTGTTCACTTGCATCTCTATTAAACTTATTTAGGCTATTTAAGCTCCATTAAACCTATTTAGTCTATGGCTATGCTGCATCTGCAATTAGAGTTGCAACTAGAACCCCGGCCTCCTCATGCCACAAATGATCCTACGTCTGTTCCCACTCACTTGCTGAACAGAACTGCTGTAACATAGTGAATGGAATATTTATCAAAGAAGAGCACCAAATATTCTCCAGTCAGTGATATGAGTATTTTACTTTTTATCTGCACCACATTCATTATGAGCCATAGACTTGTATGACTAACTGTAGTCATAGCATCATGATCCTCCACAACACAAACAAAACCATTGTTGATTGAATGACTAAAGCTTCTCTGCACCTGGTCACACTAATATAATAAGACAATGTCATATTTTGATCTTTTTATCATTTGACTCTATAGACAGCGCAGCGATTTACAGGTTTAGTTCTGTGCGTTCAGTCATAGCTGTGTTGCTGTGACTTAATTACTATGATTTAGTGTTGATTAGAGCAGAGAGGAGAGATTTTGTCATTACATTACCACTCACAGCCAGAGCCTGAATGTGGTTTCCCTGGAAACTGGAAATGTGAAGCTTTTCAACAGAGAGAGCCAGAGCTTTGCCTGATATAGATTCTTCTAGAGACAAACCTGTAGCCTCTGCGATCACTTTGTGTCAACACGCTGCTCTGGTGGACACTTGTGGACCATCAATCACTCCGAGTTTTCCCAGTTTTTTCACCTGGATTTGAGCAGGAGCGATGGAGAGACTTCAGACTGACTCGGACTGCTGAGGTACGTCACATCATCAACATATCAACACATCACATTCTAACAAGCTGCTTGGATAATGCTGTCGTACTGTGTTATTATCAAATTCACAAAATGCAGATTCATTTGTGCTTTTGTTCTGTAATGAGCTCAGTCAAAAGTTGATTATAAACAAATGTAGCTATTTTTAGAAGCCACAGTAAAAAATTTCCATCTTTGTAGCAGCTAAGCATAGAATATAGGAACCAACATGATGCATTTGTTGTAAAGGAGTATAAATAAATCATAGACATAAAACCATAATGAGCGTTGCACACTTTCACAGTATTTCAGTAAAAAAAAACAAAAAACTAAAAAAAAAAAAACCTTAAAGATGCACTACGTAACTTTTCTGTTGGAGGATTCACCATCTGCTTATGTCCATGGAGATCTTGTTGTTTTTCTTGAAATGTTCACTAGGAAAAGCATTAAACTATCTTGCATTTATCCAATTACTGGTGTTTTAATGCTTAAAGCAAATGCTCAAAAACATTAATTATTACAGTGACCATGGTTTGCATCCCCACAGATATGACCTAAAACTTGATGGCTTTTCCTTCTTGTTTCCATAGAGATAGGTAAGTTTAATGTTATACTGCGGAACATTCAGGACAAAGCAATAATATTTCACACAGTTACACAGTGTACCTTTAACTTAACTATCATGTCTGAAAATAATGCCAGGATTGTAACTTACTGAAGGTGTAATGTTTTGTTTAAAGGTCCACTATGTCGCTTTTTTGTTTGGGGTCCCTGTTTGTTTCTATGGATATGTCATTGCTTTGCCTGGAATTTTCCACAGTATGACATTATTACATTTAATAAATTACAGGTGGTTTTATAGCTCAAAAATACCTAGAAAAACAGGAATTCTGACTGTGAAAGGGGTTGCCTCTCTACAGATCTGACTTGTAACCTCATCCGATTTGGTCTCCATGATGATAGAAAGGTTTAATGCCTCACTGTGAAATCTTCCAGACAAAGAAATAACATGGACCCTCCAAGAGAAGTTACACAACGTACCTTTTTATAAACTTGAGGTGTAATGTCTTGTTTAAAGTCAGTGTCACACACTTGGTTCAGTTTTTGTGTTTCACCCTATAGGTACTTATCATCCAGTTTAAAGGGGTAGAATGGGCACTCTAAAGGATGACATGAGAGGTGTGAGTGAGGACCAGCTGCTCGGTGAAAAGGCAGAAGATGGAGAGTGTCCAGTAAGCTCAGATGGCACCACTCTGACCGATGCTTCGCAGAACAACACTGGTGTGGAGTCAACAAGACCAGCAAATGAGCCAAAGATGGACTGCAACAATGGTGATTCTTGCATAAAAGCAGATGCAACAGTGACTGCGGAGAAGCAAAGTATCTCTGTGGCTGTGCCGTCTACGCCTGATCCCACAGACCCACGATCACCTGCTCCGTTTGGACAACACCACATGCGCACTCAGGTCTGTCTGTTAAATTATCTGTAAATATCTGTGAAAAAAAAGAAGTATAAGGCATTAAATTGCCTGCTGAAATGTGAACTGCGTAACATTTCTAGTGGAGGGTCTGTCACCCGTCCTTCTCCTTTGAAATGTTATTGCTTTGTCTAGAATGTTCCACAGTATAGATTAAACCTATAATCTATCACAAGGGGGACAAGCACTACGCTTCATTACAGTTCAGATCTTTGTAGAGTCGCCCCTATTCACAGACAGGATGAGTGTATTTTTGAGCAACAGAAACACATGTAATGAATAAATGATAGCTGTAAATGAAAGCTGATAATGTCACACTATGGAATATTCCAGGCAAAGCAATAAAATCTCCATGGAGACAAGTAGGTAGCAGACCCACCACCAGAAAAGTTGTGCAATGCATCTTTGAAATCTTATTTGAAAGACGGAGATACTGATGCTATATGGAACCTTTCTGAGGAGAGATACGCCACCTGTTTGTTTCCAAGGAGATGTTCACTAGCTAGGACCACGCCAACGACAACATAGTGCGAAGTAGTTTATTGATAATGTACAAAGCGAGGCAAAGATGGCTGGGTTGAGACTATGGGTGGGGGCTCCGTCTCAATCTACAATTGGCCCAGCCGGAACGGGACCCCCCTTGTAGGGGTCTTATGACTGAAAGACAAAATAGGGGATGGGAGGGTGGGGTCGAGTTCGCCGAGACAAACTGGGATGATGGGAAAGGCTGCTACATATAGGCTTCTGGGAAATTAGAGGCGTGGTCGAGGTGAGTTGTGGTTCGCCGGTGAGAGGAGAGGGCGGCTGAGGCGTGGTCATGCTCCTGAATCTCAGTTAATCGTATTAACTACATTTATTGCTTTGTCTAGAAAAATGTTTGGCTATCTATCACAAACTGGGCCCATATTATAAAAATTTTTTATCTGTTATAATATTTCCTCATCACAAACATACTTGGAGTTATGTTTTGTTTCATTCACACATGCTTAGCACACAAACCAGGCATATTTAAGCTGAATTCTTCTCTCTAAAACTAAAAACACTCTGTTCCACCTTGTGATGTCATATGGTAATACAGGAAGTTATCCACTGTGTTTTTAAACTCCGTGCAAGTTCACTAGAATCATTTGGATAATTACAGCACTGGAATTGTAGGTCTCTACTGAACAAAAGGTAATCTGAAAACTAGAGCTTCATGGCATCACAAGGTGGAACTGAGCATTTCGAGCTTTGGAGATGTAGACAGTATAATAATGCAGGGTTACTCAGACATGTGAATGAAACAAAACACAACTCTGGTATGTTTTTGATGAGGTAACAACATTATAACATGGTTAAAATCTCACAATAATAAATTTTGCATAATAAAGAACCTTTAAGATATTCAGATATTTTGTTGATCTAGAAGGAACATTTAAAGTAAAGGAGCATTCCATAGTTAGGTCTAATAGTCTAGTAAAATATTCTCTAAGCAGATCTCTCATTTGCAGCATGTCTAAACTTGCTCTGTGTTTGATGGTCCGTAGGTGAGCCTGGAGGTGGTCCAGTGCCATTCCGCTGCCACCAGTCCCATGACTCCTCCAGAGGGTGGTCATAACAGCTCCTTCTTCTTCCCAAGCTCCTTTGGGAGAAATGAAGCTGTGGGAACTGACACTAAAGACGCAGAGCTCCAAGTGGGCCAACAAGTCCAATATAGCTCCGTCGCCACATCTCCTATGACCCCCAAGACACCATTTTTTAGCACATTCCCACCACTTCAGAGCCGGGAATCAGCACAAAAGGAAAGTAAAGATTTGCAGGGTTTCCAGGTTGGTACAGTAAACCCATCTGAGCCAGAGATAAGTGGTGCTTTGAAATCAAGCTCATCTAAAGAGTTAGAGAGTGAAGATTTGGGCTGTGGTGGCGCCCCGATGAGCTCTGCCAGCTGTCCCACTGGCACGGTAATGCATTCAGAGGGTAAGCAGCAGAGAATGGGGAGCATGGATCAAGACATTACAATCCTGGTGACCCAACATGGGAACACAGAAGAGGACGAGAACAAAACCCACTCAAGTGTCCAAGGTCCAGTTGAGACAGAAATGGTGAAATTAGTGGAGGAAGATGAGAACCAGAGTCGAGATGAAGAAGTTGATCAAGAAATGTCAAAAAGCACAATGAAAACACAAGAGGACCCTGTAAAGACTGAACTCAAGTCAAGTCACTCACTGGAAGCACAAGATTCTAAAGACGTGGTTCCAGAGTCCCCTGCACCTTTTGGCTGCCACAATATGAGGACTCAGGTGAGAAGCAGATATTACCATTTTATTTACTGGTTTTGAAAAAATTTATTGGAAATTTGGTGTTCATTGTGCCAAACATTATACCCAAAAGATTAAAAAAAATTAATAATTTGACAAAGAAACTCTAATAATTTGGCGTTCTTTATATTTGGATGTCCAAAACTGGTTCAGTCCAGGCATGGTTGGTCTTATTCTGTCCAAAAGAATGACTTAATTTCCAATAAATTAATAAAAAAGATAGACGTCATTATAAGATGATGCCGTATTCTTTGGTTTCTGCATTTTTTGCTTACTTCTCCTCTTCAAAATAAGCCCTTTCGTCAGTACTGTGGATGTTTTATGGGTGTATGCTCCTCTGTTGTGATTGGTTAATTGTAGAGTCTGAATCACTGGCTAAAACAGCCTCTTTTCTAACGCCATCTGTCTGGCAGGAGTCCTATCTCAGTGACATCATCCCCAAAAGTCTGAGAAGACATTTTTGAAAGCTTAATACATTACCGACATTTGGTTAAAATAAGGCTTTTTTAGCATAAACACATTAACCAAATAAATACACTGTGTAAATTTTGTGATGGAGGGTCCACCACCTACTTGTCTCCATGGAGATTTTATTGCTTTGCCTGAACAAAGCACGTGATGCCACCATAAATTACAGGTCAGATCTGTGAAGAGTGAACCCAGCTCACAGTAAGAATACATGCTTTTTCAAGGTTTTTAGCACCTGCAAAGGATTAAATGCATGAAATTGTTTAGTTTAATACTGTAGAAAACTCTATATGCAAAGCTAGAACAGAAGCAAAGCTACAAATTAGAAATTAGTTTCATTTAAAATATTTAGCTACAAACATCTAATCTTATTTCATGCAATATACATTGACATTTTACGGTACTGTGTGCTCATCATACACCTTCATTTCATGCATACGTCATATTTAAATCTCAAATATGCCCAGCAGAATCTATCTATCTTTCTTCCTTCTATAGCTCATTAGATTTTGTTCTTTGGTTACACCTCTTAATGGCAGTTTGTTTAATTTTGCTCTGTGTTTGGCGGTCTGTAGGTGAGCCTAGAGGTGGTCCAGTGTCACTCTGCTGCCACCAGCCCCATGACTCCTCCAGAGGGGGACCAGGCCTTCTGCTTCCCCTCTGTGTCCGTGTCCACCCACTGTGGAGGAATGAGCACAGACACCAGAGACGCAGAGCTGCAGGTGGGCCAACAAGTGGAGTATCGATCAGTGGCCACAGCCCCCATGACCCCCCGCACTCCTACGGCTACCACCTTTCCTGAGATCATAAAGTGCCCCAGCATCGATGAGAAAATTGTGGAGGAAGAAGAGGAGGAGGACACACCAAAAGAGAAAGATGGAGATGATAAAGAGGAGAAAGAAAGTGAGGAAAGCGAGGGAAGTGAGGGAGGGGACCAAGGAGAGGGAAGTGCTGGAAGTGCTGGAAGTGCTGGAAGTGGGGGAAGTGAGGGAAGTGATGAAAGCGATGGAAGTGATGGAAGTGAGGGTGGGGGAGAGAACCAAACAGAGGAAAGCAAAGAGCAAGTGAACAACAAAGAGGAGAAGTGCGAGGAGCCAGTGCAGGAGGTGAGCTGGGATGAGAAGGGAATGACATGGGAGGTGTACGGGGCTGTGGTGGAGGTGTCTGTCCTGGGATCAGCCATCCAGAAGCACCTGGAGAAACAGGTGAAAAAGCAGAAGAGGCAAACCCTGCCCCCTCCGCCTCCCCTCAACCCCTCTGCCACACCCCTCACCCCCTCTGAGGTGTCGCCCCGGGCAACAGGCTCTGGGAAAGGCCGAGGAAAGAGAGCTGAGAAGACCAATCGTCGTCGTAGGAACCCCTTCAGACAGATGATGGAGAATATCCAACAGCCACACTGCTGCTCCAGAACCCACACCACAGAGTGAAGCACAGTTTCTTACAAACAACAAGTAAAAAAGATAAATTAAATGCAATATGACAATCAAAGTGAAATCTCCACAGGGGAATTAAATGGACCAAAACACAAATATCCAATCCTGCCTCCAAGAAGTTGTATTATTTTTACTTTACAAACACTTTCATGCAATTTGTGTTTTTGAAATCAGGATTATAGTGTACCTGTTGACCAGTGGCAACTCAATACCCTCCCATTATAGGATCCAGTGCTCTTTTTTACTTTTTTTGGAGCTAACAAATGTGTTGAAGGACACTTAATGGCATTGGAACTTCCCAAGTCAGACCTTGTATTTCTTTCGTGGGTGCATTCAGTTTTTTGATATGTTAAATGCTGTTAGTGTGTTCTGTTGCTGTGTCAGTCAATGCTGTGACTTATGGCTATTATTAAGTGAGTGGATGCATAGGTTTCTGTGGGTGATGAGGCAACTCCACAAGCTCTACTACTATGTTTCTGGACCCGCTTATAATAAGTCCATGTCCTTTGCACTATATTGACCATATTTACAAAGAAAGGACTCATCATGTAGTCAATAATGTAGAGACAATTCCACATTTTCTCTATAAAAGTGGAACTATTGAACTGTTTTGAAAAAGCAGCGCACACAGCAGCACATATTCCTGAGAGAGCTTGTGGACGTGAGGTAGAAGTGAGATAAACAAGAACGTAAACCCACTGTGAAGCTGGTTCTGTTTCTATCTGATGATTTTTCACACATGGACAGATGAATGGGTTTGTGGTAGATGAGTACAATTCACCAGTGTTATCGTCTGCTCTTTTCCCTTTTTGCTTTTTTCACTCAAACCATTCAAACGTCCTCGGTCACTTCAGCTGTTTTATTTTTTCTATTGCGCAACAGACAATGTGAAGCCATGGCAACCAGCTTCCTTCTTTTTCCTTGAAGAGCATAACCTGAGGGAAATGCAGCTGAGATACAAAAAAATTTCTCCTTTTGTTTATTCATATGGATTAATGGGTTGTTTATCAGTAGACTTTTCACCTCTGCATTCTGTGTTGTGGATTTTGTGAAAAATAAGCACAATGAAGATGCTTGATGCCACTTATGCTTATTGTAATTTTAAACTCCTCTTGATTGATTTAATAATGTGTGTTAAAACAATAGATTGCCTTTACTTTCTTGTTTGTGTGAGCAGATATGTTACCGTTATAGTTCTGAGGTAGTTTTAAGTGTTTGTATTGTGGCATTACAAACATCCTAAAGTCAAATCATTTGCACAAATGAGTTGTATTCATAGATCTCAGTTGCTGCACTACTTGTTTGTACATCAGTTTATTATTGTGCAGAATGTACACAATTGATTTTTATAGAAATCACATATGCATGAACTTGTACACATAAATTAAAGCAACTGTATTGACACAGATTAGGCCGAAACAGTCAGCTGTTAGATATTTATACATACATGCTCTGTTTTCTATTTTTTTCATTTTTCAAAGTAGCAACACGTTTCAGACATCATTATGTTTCACAAATAAAATAGTTTGTGCAACAATATTTTCTGTTTGCAAGTAAAAATAAATATGTTTTTAGGGAAGGACTACTTCCACTTTGATTGATTTGGAGATTCTGTACAAGTACATTTTACAGAGATTACAGGTTGACATTATGAGATTATGAGATTATGACAAACTATTTCTGGGATGATTTTGGCCAAAATGTACTTTAAAGCAACTCATTCACCTTTTAAAGGCTCTCAGTTTCAACAGTTCAGATGCTGGATGTCAGTTTTTCACTTCAGCATTCCCTATCACAGATCTGTGGTGTCAAATATGGGATTGTCGTCACCAAGAAGAGGGTTGTTGGATCTTATCTTCTGGTCCCGTTGGGCTAAAGCTGCACCCAAGGGCTCAATGTACTTAGGTTCATCATCTTTGTCCTCCTTCTGGGTCTTCTTCTTAAAAAAAAACAGGAGCATTGTTAGACTGTAAAATGTTCACAAAGAAAAGATTTACATTGATTTTATAAAAGTTAATTTACCATAATGGGATTTGTGTCTTTCTCAAACACAGTCGCTACCTCGCTGTTGTCCAGAGAACTCAGACTGAAAAAAGAGAAGTTATAACGTGAAATAGAATAGTTATTATTGGATTAGGGTTACATTTTCAGCATTTAATTTTAATGCTTAAATTGTTTTCATTCAATACATTTTAAATACTACATATTGTCATTAAAAACATAAGAATCAAGATGAGCCATTCGTGCAATATTTGACTCGTAGCTGTGTGTAATGTTATTTATGGAGTGAAGGCCCAGACTTTTGAATAGTAGACATTTAAAAAATTTTCTTCTGCTTACAAGAGGTCACAGGCACTGAAGACTACATACACAACAACTAACTCGTCTACTGGTGATAAGTAGCAGCTAATTTAACAAAACCTCTAAACAATGTAATATATTATGTAATGTTATATGTGGTGCGTGGTGGAGGACATGTCAGACTTTCGGTGACAGATCCTGGAAGCCAAGTGAGCCTGCCTCTGTGAAACGATGACAGATCACCTGATCTAAAACCATCCAGTCAGATTTTACCTGACTTTGTCCACATCACTGTCTTCACCCATGTCCAGTGCAGCGTCAATGTTCAAGTTGAGCACAGGGTTAGCTCTGCAACCAAAAAAAGTGTAAATAATGTCACAAGGAAACAAAATTAACCAGTGTTTTTTACATTGTACGTCTCTCATTCAGCACAATGTATCAATCTGTAACAAACTGTATTGCACTCTAAGCTTAGGTACAATGTTATAGCAATGTAATATCATGTTATACCTAGGCCTGTCACAATAATTTCTATATTGACTTATCATTCAATATATGACAGCTGGAACTATATATTTTGGGCTCAGCATTTATCGCATTGTACATTTTCTTTGCAATAGTGGGCACATTTTTGGCATTTTTATGTAATACGATAAGATTTGAGCTAGAGAGAAGAATAAATAATAACTATTAAATGGCTAATTATTGATTCATTCTGTATTCATATGTTGTAGTGCATACCATTTAATGATACAGTATATTTAAAAATAGGTTCACTGGGGTTATCTTGCTTGTGTCTGTGGCAAAGGATAGTTTCAGTATTAGCATTTATCGCAGTATTTTGCGGTACAAATATATCATGCTTCACAATTTGTTATCGTGACAGGTTTAGTTATAAATGGTTGTTACACAGGGCATTACATTGCACTCAGTGACACATAAGTGTCATTGCAGTCAATTGCAGTCTTGTAAAAATACTTAAACCTGTAATAGCTATTGTTGAGACTTCAGTTATGTAGGACAACTGATTATAATTTCAGATACAGTTGAATCAGGCCATACAGGCTGGTCTTCACCCCTCATGGTTCTCACAATATCATTAATGAAGGTCTGCAGACTAAAATTCTGAACTCTATGACTTGTCAGACATTGAAATCCTGATACTGATGCTAATGTACTAATGTAGAATGAAGCCCTCACCCCTCCATGGTGTACAGGTTGGTGCCTGGAACCACTGGACCTCCTTTTTGGTCAAACATTGCTGAGACAGACTTGGCAGCATTGGCTGCTTTGAGCTTCCTCCCGTAGCTGTTATGAAAAAATACATTATAATCAGATAGGACAAAAAGTAAGCTGTGATTAAAGGTCCTATATTATTCAGAATTTACTCTTGTGAGCTTTAAGCCATGTTATAATGCTGTTACCTCATCAAAAAGATACCTAGAGTTGTGTTTTGTTTCATTCACACATGTCTGAGTAACCCTTTATTATTAGTCTGTCTTACATCTTCAAAGGTGAAAATGTTTTGTTCTAACTTGTGACATCATAAAGCGGTAGTTTTCAAGTTAACAACTACCTTTTATCTTTTGTTCAGGAGACAGGATATTCCAGGGCTGAAATTATCCATGATCTATGACTCTAGTGAAGTTATATGGAGTTTGAAAACACAGTGGTGCGCTGCCTGTATTAGCATACGACATCACAAGTTGAAACTGTGTTTTCTGTTTGAGAGAAGAACTCAAGAACATTCCAGGTATGTTTTTGGTAAGGAAACATCATTAGTGTATTGAAAATATGAAGCCAAAACACAACAATTTTTGTCAAGTTAGTCTTACTTTCTGCGTGTGCACACCAAAGACGTGGTGAGGATAGCAGTCACAACAATGAGACCTGCAACCATCCCATAGAGGACATATAGCCAGGGGTTGACTGTAGTCTTGACTGGGTCCACAGTGCCCTACAAGTGTTTCAGTGGTTTAGACTTTTGCATCAGATCAATAATAAAAGCAGGGGAGTAATACGACTAACAACTTTTCTATTCATTCAATTGCAATAGAAACTAACATACACCATATACACTACTAGTGTTTTTTCTTATTATTTTTACTACTTTCTACATTTTGCTTACATACGAAAGACATCAAATGTATGAAGTAAGCTGTATCGAATTATACAGCAAAGAAAAAAAGTTAAATAGCTCTATGATTTTTTTATTCAAAAAAGGAAAAAAACAAAACAAAAACGAAAGATATTTCTTTGCTACATGATTCTTGCTGATGTTGATGTCTTCCCTACATTTTGTACATATTTTTTTCTACTTTCTACATTTTGTACAGAAGACATTAAATAAATATATGAAGCAAGATATATATAAAAATAGGTGTATATATATATATATATATATATATATATATATATATATATATATATATATATATATATATATATATATATATATATATATATATATATATATATATATATATATATATACACACACACACACACACACACATATATATATATATATATATATATATATATATATATATATATATATATATATATATATATATATATATATATATATACCTATATATGTAATAAAAAACTTTGAATGAGTGTGTCCAAAAAGTATAGTCTTTCTTATGTCTTAAATGCATGTGTTAAATGCTTGTTTTTAATATGGGTCGAGGGTAGCTGAGAAACGCCACTCTGCTTGGGTGATCCTCGTTCTTACATTTAATTAAATAGTGTTAAATAGTATTAAATATTTCAAAGAGATACAAGACCAATTTGTATTATCTGCAGTATCATTATGGGTAACTATAGCAAACATATTCACAGGCCATCATTCATTGGAAAGTACAATTATGTCTTTAGTGCAGCTTGTATAGTTTGTACTCACAACATAGATGAGTCTATACTTTGACAGAATCTGAAAATTCTCAGGCAGAGACAGCGTTTTCTCCACTGTTTTAGGTGGGAGACCTGTCCCATTTGCGTTGATGAAATAGACCTCCATGACAGTGACAGCTGAAGCCCTAAAGGGGAACAGGCCTTGGTTAAGTTACAGCTGCAATATTTTATTTGTTACATAATTTTACAAAAGTTACAAACGAGAACCCTGGCGCCACCATGTGGACTTATCATATAAAGCTAATGTTGGCTGCTCTAATAAATATGCTGTGCAGTTTACAAAAGAGCTCAAAATGTGTTCACAATACCCAGATGTGTTGTGAAAGAAAACGAGGATATCATATTCAATAAGAAATAGTTGCTTAGCTCGAATGATTTTGGAAGTCTCTCTAGCCAGATAAAAGCTAAATGACATGAGGGTCCTGAGCAGTAACACTGTGCCCTCTAGTGGTTAAAAACAAAAGTGAAAAATGGAGGAAACATGTTTGATTTAAAAAGGCACAGTAAGGGAACCCTTTTATGTTTTTTCAGTGCAACTTTGACTATATAACTTTAGGTTATTACATTCTTACTACATATTTTGGTAACAAACAACATGGTAAACAATATGACTTACCTAGCAGTTCTAGAGGTCTCTTCTTTTACTGAAACCACTCGAACAGCAGCTTGAGTAACAGCCATAAGATCTCTGCACATGAGGAAGTACATTTTTACATTATGGAATTGTTGTAAAACCTTCACTGTCTATATAATGCTGCATTGTAGTACCTTTCGATTTCATTTTGTTGTGCCTTAATTTCTGCTTCAGTAGCATTAAAGCGAAGTTTATTCTTGTAGGAATCATCAACAACAAAGATCTGCAAAGTATTACAACAAAATTAGGTTCAATTGCCTCTTTACAAAGACAGATGGCTACCTGAATGACAATGATTAAAGGTACACTATATATCCTTATGAGTCTGCCACGTGCTTGTCTCCATGAAGATGTTATTGCGTTCCATAGAATGTTTTACACTGTAGCATTAAATTGATCTATCTCCATGGAGACAAGCAGGTAGCACCACCAGGTCACGTCAGATCTGTGGAGAGGCAAACCTGCCTGTAGTAATAATGAATGTTTTAAATGTTTTTATTGATTTATTTATATTTAGTTTAAAAGTTAAACTGGAAAGTGTAATGCCATACTGTGGAATATTATGTAACATTGTCTTGTAGACAAGCAGATGAAAGCCTCAGCTATAAAAGTTGCATTGTGCACTTTTAAATCTTTAGAAACAAGTGACTAGAAACTGCTCCCAAAAAGAAAGGATAAAAAGGATAAAGAATTAAAAAAGTGCCTAACCCCAGTACATGTCTTGTTTGAATGATGAATGATACAAATAACACATATATCTCTAGTACTTTTTCCTGTATTAAATATTTATTTAAACATGTACTCACGCCAAGAACACTGGTATTGGTGAGGTCCCCAGTGTCTTTTGCCACAACTGTCACCAAATATTTGCCTTGTAATTGTGTATTCAGCTTCTCAGTTGATCTGTGGAGGGGTAAATTGTTATAGTACATTGAAAAAAAAAAGTAAATGAGTATATAGCCAACTTATTAAAGTCATTCTCACTGAATAATTCCAACATAAAGGTTTTTCTGTTGTGTTGTAATAGCCTCAAACAGCATACTCATGTCCGTAGTTTTATTGTCCAAGTGTACGAACTGGACTTTTGAAACCTGGAACTCAATCTGTCCATTTGCTCCACTATCCCTGTCTGTAGCCTGTAACAAATATAGATAAAAGTAATTAAGACTTTTATAATTACCCGCTCCCATCAATTGGTAAAATTTTTTAAGTGCATATGACAGGTTATAATACCAATTTCAGTAAAACATAGTTAATATCTAAGATTTTTCTAATGTTGGTGAAGTTTATAATTTGATATGGAGCTATATGGCATACATACAGGTAATTCCATAACTATTACCTAGCAACCATAACATTAACATACCTAGCAATAATGTGTAGGGTCAAAACTAAATGGCACAATTCAACTAATCAAAACGAATGACAGCACATATATTTTGTTTAATCAGTGTTAAATGTGTTCCTTGTGTGTAAAATATCCCTTCATTTTTTATGGAGTTTTTAGTGTAGATGGCATAGGTAGAGGTATTCCGCTTTAGAATTCACCACTACTACCTTTATTTATTTATTTATTTTTCCAACTTTTTCCCACAAACTGATGTAAAACTAAAATAAATATTTACCACAGGTACTATGACAATCAACCAAGTAATAATTAAATAAACATGAAAATCTGTCATTTGCACTTTAAATACTGTCAAATTAAATGAATCAGTTCTCAAAGCACAGATTACAAATGAATAATGTACATACGCTGACTTCAGCAACTGATGTCCCCTGGCTTGCAGTTTCAGACAACAAAACTAAAGCACAAAGAAAAATCAGTCATTAATAAAACAAAACAAATTAAAACAAAACAATATATTAACAAATATAATAAATACAAAACAAAATAAAAAATTAATAAAAAACAACACATAGCGCATAACAAGGCAAAACAAAGACTCACCAAATACTGAATTGGAGGACACAAACTCTGGTGTATTGTCATTCATGTCCAAAATATTTATCACCATCTCTCCTAAAAGACATTATATTTGAGCAACACAAAGCTTGGTTGAAACAATAGTACAGAGCTGTGCATTCTCACCTGGCACCAGACTATTGGCCTCTCCCTTCTCTGTATATTCATCCACCACATCAGCCTCCACTATGGCCTGGTCGCACGACTCATAGTCAATTTGAGCATCTGGGTTGATGGTAACAGAACCATTCATCTCCACAACAAACCAGTCACATGGCGTGTATTCCCCACTACACCTGCATTTCACGGATAGTTGTTTATAAATTAAGGAGTGGTTTCCGTCTTTATCCACTGCAGTAAATGTCCCAATAGGCCCTGTTTCCTTGCTGTTTTCCTCGACAGTAACTGGAGGTATCGGTTCAAACGTGGGTCTCTCATCATTCACATCAAGAACAATGACTTCCACCTCAACTGTGGCTTTCTCTTGGCCAAAATCTACTGCCTCGACTACAAGATTGTATGTTTTTTGGCCCTCATAGTCCAGCATGGTGTCCTGGTCCACGTTGATTCTACCGATGTACCCCGGTGCATCTGGGGCAGTGCGGATGGTGAAACTGGCCAGTGCACCTTCGATAATGTTGAAGGAGATGCGATTGAAGTCAGATGTTTGATCATGGTCTTCAGCGTTAACAGAGCCAACAAAAACACCTGTGTGGTAAAAATAAAAAAATCTTGATTATTGATTAATCATGATTGTGTGGTTTAAATGACAATGATGATTTGGTTTTGGAAAATTTAAGACAGACCTTTTTCACTTTCTTTTACACTGAACCTATAGGAGGGCTCCTTAAAAACTGGCTTGTTATCATTGACATCCTGAAGATTATAACACAACACACACACTTGAGCTGAAATACTTAAAAACTGTCAGTCCCTTCTGTTGGTTATAGTACTGGGTGGCCCACCTGCACATTGATGGAGACGTTGACTACAGCGAACAGTGGAGGCTGGCCCTTGTCTGATATCTTTACTTTGAGTTGGATCTCCCCATTCAGACTTGGGTCAATGCTCTCCCGGTCCAGAGGCACTTTGCTGGACAGGACTCCAGTGTCTGCGTTAATGGTAAAGTTCTCACTGAAGGGGCCAGGCTCAATGGTAAAAACAAGCATACTGTTTGGTGTGCCTTGTTCATCTCCATCTGTAGCCTGTGCAAAAGGGGTGTAACAGGAAGCAACGAGTTCTAATGTCATGGTACAAAATGTACTGTGATATTAACAAGATTGTAGAAACGCTACTTTTTCCTAATAAAATGCATTCAAAGGACTTTGTGTTACTAGAGATAGACTGATATGTCAGTCAGCCAATAAATCAAAATGTGAAATTAAAATACAATTAGCTTGTGAATTACCTCAATTTTAACATTTTCCAGTTGTGTTCCATCATACACAGACTCCCGGTAAGGGTTTCTGTTGGGCACGGGTGTCTCATCATTGATATCCGTAACAGTGATTTCGAGGACAGTGTTTCCTGGTTTGCCCTCTGAGTCTAGGGCCTGCAGTGTCACTGAATACAACGCTCTGGATTCACGGTCCAAGAGAGCGCCATTTTTCACAAAGACCCTCCCTGTCTTTGGCTCCACATCGAAGTACTGCTGCCTAAATCACATAGGAGATACATATTAGGAGTATAATTTCAAATGTACTGTAGCTCTAAAGATCTCGTTTCAGTGTCCAATTTCACTTGCCAATAATTGCCAATAATTGTAGAAAATTAATCTAATACAAATTTACAACATTGTGTTAAAGTTTAAACTGGGTTTATTAGATTGGGTCTTGCACCTATGGTACTGCACTTCACATGAAAATTATGCAGTGTTTGATGCTCTAAACATAATTTTGTTGCTTCTCTATGATAATGATATAAAATCTTGAATCTTTATCTATATCATTTCTATTTACTTGTGTCTTGTGTCTTGCTCAACACTGCCCAATTTGTAAAACGTGCTGCTGTGATTCAATAGATAGTATTTTATTATTAAACTTGACTTGAGACCGACTGCTGTTAAATGAGTGAAGGGTGCTTTTAAATTGAGATTAAAATGCATTTAATTTGCATTATTAGTTATTAAAATAGCCTTAAAATGCAATGTAGACATACATGTTTGTTGGTAGAAGTTTATAGGTGATCTTGTCCACGTCCATTAAATCAAGGTCTGTTGCCTGTGGACAGAAAGAAAAAAAATCAATTGAAATCATTTTATCGAAGTACTTATTTATCCTTTAATGAAGTAATTTGGTCTTTTTTCATTAGACCCCTGAGCAGTGAGCACAGGAGATGTTGACAAGTGCTCATAGCTTTTTCTGTTTAAATTCATAGTGAGAGTGAATGTGGTCTCTGTCTGGGCAGGCCATGATTGACTGTGTAATGCTGATAACTCAAAGTAACAGGCAAAAAGGCTCAATTTACAGTTGACAGTCAGAAATATGTGGAAGGAGATGGGGAAAATCAAATACTGCCCACTGTATTTTATTAGAATTTTAAACTAGTAAATAACAAGTAATGAGCTATTGCATTATGTAACATTTTATAACATTTTACAGCTACAATATCCAAAATAAAAATCCATAAACAATTAACATTATAATTTTTTCATTTAAATCCTTTAAACTGACAACTTTGAAGATGAATAATGGCACCACTTTCTGAAGCTATTGTGAAAGCATGAGTTCACTTTTGTTAATTTATGCTGAAGTAATTACAAAGATGTTAACCATGAACCAGGTCCACAAATCTGCAATCTGTTATCAGCAAATTCCACCAAAGCAATTTGACCCAAGCTATATTATGCACAATTGACTCTTTTAAGCTTTAAATCATGTTAGTTATTAGTTATTACCTCATTAAAAACATACCCAGAGTTGTGTTTTGTTTCATTCAGACATGTTTGAATAATCCTGGATTATTAGGCTGTCTACATCCCCAAAGATTAAAATTCTCTGTTCCACCTTGTGGTGTCATGAAGCAGTAGTTTTACCTTTAGTTTAGCAGAGATTGGCAATTACAAGTCTGAAATTATCCAAATGATTCTAGTGAATGTGTATGGAGTTTAAAAACACAGTGGAGTTCTTCCTGTTTTACCACATGACATCACATGGTGAAACTGAGTGTTTTCTGTTTAAAAGAAGCACTCATCTTAAATATAGAGGGTTTGTGTGTTAAACATGTGTGAATGAAGCAAAACACAACTCCAGGTATGTTTCTGATGAAGAAACAACATTACAAGATAGATCAGAAAACAGCAAAAATAATATAATAAAACTATAGGGCTACTAGAATGTTGTGATGCCATGTTAACCTTATATTAAACCATCAACTCACAGTGATGGTGGCTATTGTTGTCCCATCCTCGGCTTGCTCGGGCACTTTGGCGTAGTACGTGTCATTGGCAAATTCGGGGATGTTGTCGTTGATGTCCAGGATGTTGATGGTGACGTCCGCAGTGGCACGATAGGTGGAGTTTCCTTGGTCCACAGCTATAACCTGAAAATGAGGAGAAGACATTTGGTTTGGTAACACTCCATATGAAGAGTTCAGTTGGTAGTTTTCAGATTCTAGTCATGCTTGCAGATGGGGGGCAAGAGACAGTTTTTCTTATTTTTATTTTATTATATTATATTTTCCTATGTTGTACTTTGAAATAACAAAAAGATAAAAGCACAAATGTTGAACCGGATCATTTTTATTACTGACTAGGCCCATGAACTCACTATATTAAAACAAAATATTGCATTTTAACAATATCAATTTTAGCTGTCCCCCATCTGTATCAAATATCACTGGCCTGTAGAATGTTGTGATCTCATCTGAAAATGAGCAGTAGCAAAAACAGCTATCTCCATTTAGAAAAACTGCCCAAAAGTGTTTGTTTGTTTTTTTCTTTTCAGTACCATCTTCTAGATATATTATTAATGACAATAATGTGTAGTAGATTTTATCATGAAGGTGAAATAATATTTTGATAGCAGTAAAATACATTTGGCTTTTGAAAATACTACTATATTAAATTCTACTATATTAAGAGTAAACTACAAGCCTCCAATGACTTTTTTAATTGGCGCTTATCTGTTTTTGCCAATGAACTCTTCATATGGTAAAGGTTAAGATACACTTTAGTGTCCCCATAAGGAAGTGTGTCCTCTGCATTTGACCCACCCTTCATGTCAGTGGTAAAGGCAACCATGATCTTGAGCTAGACTTTGTTAATACTACTGTAATAATAGCTCACTTTAAAAAGACTGATTTATGCTTAGTAACTACTTAATTAATACTCTAACCCCTAAAGTTTTCATTAAGTTGCCTGAATCATTATTATTAAACAAATTGTTCATTATGAAGTTTTTGCTCACTCTTTACTAAGCCTAATATAAAGTGGTACCTTTTGTTTTTATCCTCCAAGAAAGAGCAATATACACAGTTTTGTTTGGGCAGGTTATACAATAAACTAAATACATTTCCAAATAAAACAGAGCAGTGCAAGCAATACTCGTAGAGGTTGGGGGTAAAGAGACTCTTAGGAAGTCAGAGAGACAAACTTTTAAAAAGGTTTTGTATTCTTAAATTTACTGATTTGTCTATGAGCAATTTGGACACAATAACCATATTGCACAGACTCAAAACAAACCTACTAGCCCTTGACTAGAACAGGACAGAACAGGGTCTACTTCAATAAGCTGGGCTCAAACCAGGATCAAACCAGAACATGATTGGACACAGTACTACCAGAATGTTTAGTATAGCATAACTTTGGTACCTTTAAAGATATTTGCTGCATTTTTTCATAGTCCAAGACTTCGGACCTTTTGACAATCAGCTGCACAGTGCTGCTGGAAAATGCCACAGCAGGCTCCACGGAAAACGTGTCTTTATACTCTCCATCCAGGGACAGTTCAGTTTGAGAATTCTGCAAAAGATCAACAATTAATAATAATTATTATCACTTATTATATAGGTAAATTGTGTCCATGTTAACGATAGAATTATCTATATAAGATTCACTGTTTTTGGAACAAATATTCAAACTTATAATCCTCAAAATTTGAACCCTATTCTTATTTGTAACATAGACATTATGGCATAATGACACTTTCCACCTACAGCAATTACACCGTCAGTGTTGAATATGACACCATGTTCTGAAGCTAATACGTAATTTCACTTTTGTTTATTTATGCTAGCTGGGAAGAACATTATTGGTTATTAACAGCACTATCTCAGATATATTGTTTATAAAGATTACACACATGTACATACACAAATGAAAAAAAGATTATATTGGAAGCTGCATTTAGATGAACTTAGTTGGAAACAGAGGGCAAAGTAAATCATATTCTCTCACCTTATCTGCGTCCTTTACAGTCATGTTGATGAAAACAATCCCTAGTGAATTCTCCTTCACCTCTCCGGAGAAGCTGCTTGCAGCAACACACTCGTCTGCACACTTGAAAAATCCCGGACTGTTGTCGTTCACATCAGTGATAGTGATTCGCACTTGGGCGGTGGCAGAGGCTTGGACTCCATGGATGTTTAGGTTACGCTCAGTTGCCTACAGCAGTCATGTGAAAATATAGTGATAATAGCAAGTATGATATTTATGTTACTTTAATATTTAGGGCAGTATTTTTCTGGGGTAGGGTATGCCATCTGCTTGGAGATGTTATTGGTGATGGATAATAAATAAAAAATAATAATAATAATTAAAAAAAATAAAAATATGCTTTACCTTAACAGTCAGTTCCACTATGTCACCAATTACTTCTCGATCTATCTCACTCTTTACAGTAATGAACCCTTTCTGGTCTATAATGAACAATGCGCTTTCTGCAAAGAACAAATAGAAGAAAGTGGGTTATTAATAGACATAAACTATGCAAACTTTTCAGACGGCATAAATCAACTCACCCTCAATGCTGTAAATTATATCATCATTAATCCCTGTGTCCTGGTCAATAGCCGTGACAGCTAACACACTCTGACCCTAATGGATAAACAAACACACATTTTAGTGGGAAACTGAAAATCCTGAAACCATAATAATTTCAACTCACTATAGCTGTATTTTCTGCCACTGATGTCATGTAGGGAGTGCCAATAAACTGAGGATCGAGGTCTGGGACATCCACAACTGTGATTTCGGCAAAGACTGAGGTGTTCTGGTAAATTATCTCATCCCCAAAACATTTCCCTCCACCATCCTGCAAAAGGAAGGCAATGGGTGATTTGATAATTAACTCTGTATTATTGTGAAAATGACAGGGGACAGTCACTGGGTGTATGTATGTTTTTAGTATTAAAATGTAACATGTGATGAGTCTTTCCATCTTACCTTTGCAGTGATTATTAACCGATAGAAAGTGCTGAGGGAGGTGTAATTCAGGTTTTCCTTGAGTATGACATTGCCCAGGTTGTCCACCGTGAACACAGTATCTCCAGAACTAGGAAAAGACTACAAACACACAAAAAAATGTATAATAAATTATAATATTTTTTGTTTTATTTCTAGAAATGAAAGTTACCGCGTTAATGCTGTAACTAACGGTTCCAGCTGGCCCAGTGTCAATGTCCTCGGCCTGTACCTTGAACAGAGTGGTACCAACTGGGGTGTTCTAGAGATTTACGAGAGACAACAACGGCATTAAGGTCAGCAAATGCAATGAGACAAATACATAAATAACTTTTCTTCTCAAAATGCATACTATCAACAATCAGTGCTACATCACAGGAGACAGTGTAAAGTAATGAGAATAGAATGTCCTTAATGTTAGTGGCTCCCTGAGCTACCATCATCCTGAAATCTTACCTCTGAAACTGTCTGTTCATATGAAACCGCCTTAAAGATAGGTTTATTGTCATTTGCATCATTTACTATAATGAATATGCCTTTAGTCCTCTGAAAAAGCACACAAGACACAAGCATTTATTTACAAAGATAAAGCATATATTTGTGAGAAGGTGCTGTGGTGTTCAAGTTCACTCACACTTTGCGAACCGTCTGAAACGCTGGCATCCAGTGACATTACAGATGCTATCTAAAATAATAAAAGATAAAACAGGTCTTTCACACAATTCTATTTAAATGTGTGGTAGGTTTTCAGCTCAAAATATATTTAACAATGCTAACAGATAGATAGATAGTATAGATATTTATGCACTTCTGGTTAATGCCTCTGTAAAAACTGTAAAATTGTCAAAAAGCTTTTCAAATATTGATAATTCTCTTTTTTTTAATCTATATTATCCAACCTCTCTGTCCAGTTTCAGCTTCAAATATACATTCCCAGTGGATGACTCCACATTGAAGTAACTGGCATAAGTCCCACTTATTGAATAAGTCAGTGGATCATTTTCTGGATCACTTGCATTAATTTTAAATGCAAATCCACCTGAAAATAGAAATGTTTTTGGTGTCAAATGAAAGAGGTAATGATTTTTGAGATGCTTTAAAGCTGCACTATGTAATTTTTCAGGTGAGGGGTGAACCAACTGCTTGTATAGCAAAACATAAAGATATTTTTGCTTTACCTGTTCCACAGTATTCACCCACATTCATCTTATCTTTTCTAACTTTTCAAAATGTATTCAATTAGGTGTTTTTTTTGCTTAAAATGCTTAAAGAACATGGATTCTTATGGTGTATAATTCCAGGAAAAGCAATAATAGCTCCATGGCAACAAGGAGGTGGCAGTTCCTTCACCATAAAAGTTATACCTTTAAAGGCATATGTCCATGATACGTACCTTCTGGGACATCCTCACAAACATAGTAACTGTCCGCGTTAATTGTAGGAGCTCCATTTGCTGTGAATGTAAATGTGTTTGTTTATTCTGTTGCTGATTAGTCAGATTAAACAAAAGTTTTTGTTTTTACTCACCATTTGTTAAACTAGACCAGCATAACAACAACAGGCAGACAGAAATCAACGCCATTTCTGCAAAAACAAAAAACAAGTCTATTATAGTTTTCACCATCAGATTATTTTAAGGCCACACCTTATTTTAAGGATTCTGGTCATAGCGTAATTATGTGCTCTACATTGTACTTTCTTACAGAAATTAAATATTGTCTGTGTTTACTAACCAAAGCATAACAGTCTAATAATGTGGCAATTCTGGCATAAAGATACTTTTTAATTAATTAGAATATTATGATACAACAAGTAGGATAGCTTTGAATGTTGTGTGAACGACTTAAACTTGTACTGACTAGACTTTGTATAGACCCAGAGTTGTGTGAATTATAACGTTATTTACTCTTGATTGATTAAAGATACTCTACAGATGCAGGCTAAGATGTTCATCATAATTCATAACTTTCTTTTATTGAAAAGATAGTGTAATGTAAATTTTGACTTTCATTTATTTCTATAATCTCTAAATGTTTGAAAAATGAAAAAGCAGTAGTCAGACTTACCAGAGGACATTCACATTGGAGCTCCTCTCTTCCTGATAGTTGTTTGAGACCTTTGGCTCTTGTTCCTCCAAATGGCAGTTGCAGCTATAGTTGTAAACATCAATCATTAACACATACACGTAAAGCACAAGCAATAAAATCATCATCTAACCCATTCCAATTTGGATTTCAGGTTTATTGCGTGACAAATCAAGTTAACCACATAGATACTCAAATTATTATGAATATTTTCGTTTATCAAAATCTCACCAAAGCAAATACGCTGTCCATACCTCTTCTGACACCTCAGAATGGAACAGCTATTGGCAGAAGCAAACCCAATCGGGTTCAAAATGGTCCTCTCAGGCAGTGAATGAAAGCTTATTTCAGAAACAACTGATTCATGTGTTTCGTTAATGAGCTTGCTCCACTTCCCATGATCCTCTGCTGCTCTCTTCATCTTTATGAAACAAAAAAGCACAGAACAATGGATTTGTCTTTCATTCATGTGAAAAACTCAAGGCCAGTATGGAGTTTAGCATAGCCCAAAATATGAAAAAAAAAATGCAAAAGATGTACTTGCATATAATGACTCCAAGATATTATCCCTACAGGAAAATAACACTAGCCTTAATACAGTGATCACAGTGATGAAGAGTTTTCTGAAAATACATAAGTGCTGAAATTACTTGGGATACTGGAACACTGGGTTGTCTTCAAATGTAGCATCTAGTTTCAATGTGTGTATAAAATAGCTAAATAAGTTAAATTAATTAAAATGATTAATGAAATGCTGAAATGTTCTTTTTATTTCTGGACTACTAGAACATTGAATTGCAGTGACTTATAGAACAGTCATGTGTTGATGCTTTTATGATGCTTGCTTTACATGATAAATTACTTTAGTATAATGAATAATGGAACACTTTGCTTTCGTTGTGACAGCCAGCATTTTTTCATCCTGTGTTATTAAAAAAAAAATAATAATAACTGGGTCAAATAAGATTTTGAAATGACCAAAATGATTATGTTGCTGGCTCAGATTCATTAAGGAGCAGACCTGTGAGCTAATGGCGGAAACAATGTAGTGCCATGAGATAGTTTAAACACTAATCTCTATAAACTTTGGTTTATTACTTACAGCTCTGTCTAAGCAACAGTGTAACAAACACAACACAGGGTGAAGCAATAATCACTGCCAAAGAGATTCCAGTCAAATCAAACCAGGAAATATAAGAAGGAAAAATCAAATGAGGTCAATTGAGGTGTTGTCATTTACCATTATATTGATTAACCAAGGGGGGGCTAGAGCCTTCACCATTGCTGCCCCCACCTTCTCGAATTCTCTCTCCTTTCACATCAGAAACTTTGACTCACCACATTCTTATCAGAAAAAAACAAACAACAAAAAAAAAAAAAAACAACCTAAAACCCTACCTGTTCCACATTTTATACAATGTCCAATAATGCCTATACATGTGCTATATCTGTCACTGTAAAACTTTTCAACCAAAGAAAAGATCTGGCTTTCCACGTACTACCCGAAAGAAACCAGGTCTATAGCAAGACTTTTCCAGGTCTAATCTAGGGCTAAACCAGGTTTAAAAGTAGACCACATCATTTCCACAGTGGAATGATTCATAATATTTGTATCCCATTGAAGAGGTAATGTGTGATCATGTTTGTAAATTACCATATGCCTCAGCACAGAACTTTTTGTCTTTTTATGTGAAATGTATAAAACCATTTTGCCTGAATTATAGTTGGCCTCCTTTGGCTACAACTGTCTCGATAACTGTTCATAGATTTTATTTTCCAAGAGGGAGATGACAAGTCTTTTTACCTGAGGCTGAAGACTATAGGGCGAGGCTTTTTTTTGTTTTGTTATTGAAGTAAGATATTGTTTATGTGTTTGGTCATTCTTGTATTGGTCATGCTCTTCCAGTTTTATGTTGATGAAAACTGTCTAGCCTACATCGGTAGTGGCTGCTAACAAACAAAGCAATGTGATTGACTTTTAGGCAACTCGAGACACATGGTTATATAAGTGGGAGGTCATATAGGGTCCATTCTTTTGAGAGAGCGAAGCTTCATTTGAAATGTGAATACAGTTGCGCATGTTCGGTCCATTACGGTAAAAATGGCAGCTCAGGAAACAGGCGTTCAAGTTAAGATAAAATTACTGAAACGATTAGGATAATAACAAAGATAAATAGGATAATAGTACGATAGTAGCATTATTCAAGCAACAATTTTAGTCTAAGAACACCTAACCCAAATTTACGAAGCGTAATAAGAAAATGGGAACACAAAAATTAATAGCCTAAATAGACTTAATATCCTAATAACTAACAAAAATGTAGCTATTTGTTGGGGCAAACTGGTGATTTTGAGTGTTAAGAGTCAAAGTGAAGTGAGGCATAATGTAATAACGGGGATTTATTACGGTAAAAGTGAAAATTGGACTGTGCGGTCTGGTCTGGAAATACGCAAAAATGGGGGTGTGACGACGAGCCGCAGAAACCCAAAACAAGAGCGCAGCTGGCTTGCTTTGTAGCTAGACCAACATGATCAGGATCGAAGGAGGAATATCTGGGTTTTGTGAACCGTAGAGAGACACGGGACAGCGGCTGGATGTGCGCAGAGCCAGAGGACGCAATATTTAGCACCTTTTTCAGCAGTGGTGAAACCCACGGAATGTACCACTCGCGAACAGCTGACCACAGGATGCCGCACTTAGCCCAACGACATGTGAACATTACAAGAAAAACATTGGGATTTAATGACTGCTTATTAACAATCAGGTAACCGCGCTGCTCCTCTCCTTCTCGCGTTTCTTCTGGTGTTTTGGAGACGCAGAGTTTACGCTTTTGAGGCTAATTTGTAGGTGCTTGTTGTGAGCTGCCATCATCTCAGCCTCCAGCCCCTCCTTGTTTTGCTGCTACCGAGTGATGTTGTAATGTTTACATTGGCTCTTGGTTGCACATCACTGTACTCTCCTTGGGCTCAGTTTGGTGAGGTTTGGATAAATGCAGAAGTCCTCGGCATGAACCACACGCACGCGCAGTATTCATTAGTTTTGTTGCACTAATTGGTTCTGATATGAGGCCTAAAACACTTTTAATATATAGGCCTAATTATTGTAGTGCTATTGCCTTTGTCAGTGAATATAGCTTACACTTTGGCTGAGTAAACGGGGCAGATGGAGCCTTTACTGGTGAAAAAGATGGAGAGGGATGACATGATCATGCGAGGCCAACATTACATAACCGGCTGGTGTCTAGCAGGACACTGTGGCCTCCAATGAGACTTCGAGTACCGTGGACCAATAGCTGGGCTACAGTTAAAGCAGCGGGATGCGCAATAAATGAATGAAGATTGTTTAACCATCCTGAGTTTTGCTGTTACTAGGTTTATGTAGTCTGCTCCCATGCTTCCATTTAGGCCTAGCTACAGTGCCAAAACACACTATAATACAGTACCAAATCACATTATAACTGATGTGAAGATGATGGACTACCTGTTAAAGAAGAGTGTGCGTTTTCTCACTCCAACCACACCACAAATCCTATGGGCCATTCGCTTTAAGACCGTCTAGCCTATAGGCCTAGGCTCTGCAAGGTTAATGAAACCTGTGAAACTTCTTTAAGCAAGGCCATGCTTATGCATTGTCCCAAACTACAGTGAACTCCATTGGGCTGAACTAATTTCTATTCTATCACAAATACACATTTCTTGGTCCGCTAATAAGATAAATGTGTCAATGTAAGTAGGCTATCATTATAAATTATTGTGTTATTTATAATTTGTAGTCAGCAGGATATCCATCTATTTGGAGCTATTGTGGAAATTCGTCTCCGGAGGGAAACTGTACAGTAAATTACATAGTTTTAATTAAATAATCGCCACCTGTAACAGATATGGATAATCTGGATAATCTGCCCGGTTGTATACCTTGTTATTGCTGCAGTTGTGACAGAGTGTCTATCTATCGCCGTTTTATGCATAAGATGGTGTTGGGGAGGAGAGGACGGCGCTTGTTGTTTTGATCCACGGTGTCTGCGCTTGTCTGGCAGTCTGTGGCCGCCTGTGGGCCGTCTGCTGTCTGTGTTTTCTGCGCGGGGATTGGTGCGCTTGGAGCAGGGGGCGAGGCCTTTCCAAAACAATGCGATTCAAGGAACATGCTCGCGCCAATGGATGTTGTTGTCGCTGCCTAATTACTGTCACATTTTACCCCGTTTAACGGCAATTTTAGCTCCTAACCACTCCGCGTAAAACTCATCCAAAATCTCAGCCCATCTCTGGACTAAACCGGTCCCGTATGCAGAAACTCCAGGTATTTGTTAGCAAGTTAGCATTAGCGGGCTGCTAGCACCACCCTCGTCGGGGACATTGTCAAAAACCTCTCGCTGGCAGCAGCATTCGGCTATTGTCAGGTAAGATTGAAAACAGATGATCATGCAAAGTGTTTCTACTCCGCAGTGGAACTGTTTTGGATAAGAAAAAGCACATTCCTGCAAACTAGTGCTATGCCTGCTACTCTTATGCTAGCCATGTTTACCAGAGTCCTGTAGTATATAGGTGTATTTATTGGAAACCACTTGTCTGCTTTATGTATAACTGCTCGTTTGTATGAAAATGAAGGACAGACGTATAAAATGGATTCAACATTGGCTGATAGCAAAGAATTAATGTATCATAGATCACCATAACGTATTTAATCTTTATCTATCTGTGATTTAAACTCTTGTTATTCCAGTTTATTCCAGATATAACAGTGAAATACATGCGTGTATTTTCTTTCCAGACCCGAAGTTTTCCTAATGTGCCGTTTGCAGCTATTGTGAACAAAGCTGTAGCCGTTGGAGCCAGGCTAAAGTTAGCAGCTCTCCTTCAGCCGAGAGGTCGTACATGAAAAGAAGCTAAACGCTGAACCTAATGCTGTGTGAAAAAGACAGTGCTCTGTTCGGTTGTGTTCTGAACACAGAATATGCGGAGAAGCACCTGCAGTCTTGTGTTAGCCACAGTCCCGTTTCTTTGCTGTGTCTTTGTTGTTGCTTTGTCTCTGAGCACATGGCTCTCCATGTTTTTGTTCAGGCGCGCCACAGCGACCTCTATTTGTGCAATGCTTGTCACATGAACGCACTTAATTTGGAAATATATTACATGTTTGCTACCGAAACTTTGTATTTTCATATATAATATCATTATTTTATTGAATTTCTAATATGACAAATTATAGTACTGACACGCTTTGCTAAAAGTCATGAGAATGTTTATACACATGTAAAATGTAAACATTTTTGGAATAAATAATGTAATTACAGTCACTTACATCCTTCCTGGTTATAATACTGAATTCTCCGTTGGTTAAAATACTGAAAATGCAACTTGTGGATTATCTAATCATAAACTCATGTTGACACCGTCACAGCGGTGTGGATAGAATTAAAGTGAATTCTGTTGTGTGAGTTATGTTTTATGTTTGTTTTTACAGGGTGTAGACAATCAGAGGCCACATCCAAGTGCCTCCACTGGACGCTTTCCATTCCCAGAGTGTGACTCGTCTGCACGACGTCACCAATGCGACCATGGGAAGTAGCAGTGAATAGGCTGCCACCAACAGCCCCCTTAAACCCTCGGAGGTTCCTCGCAGAGCCCTGCAACACCCCTGCGCATCTCAGGAGAAGGCAAGTCTGTGTGCATCCTTTACACATGCAAGGTCAACATCAGGGCTGTACAATGATATTAATTTAAGCGTGATTACAATTACCACTTCAGTAAATTAAATGGTATAAAATTGTTAAAATCTGTAATAATATGAGCATTTGTTTTACAAAACCTGGTGTAAAGCCAGCCGTTTAATCTCCTGTGACTTTTAAAACATAAAAAAAACCTTAGTAATAAATGACTGTACTGATTAACTTCACAGTGAATATGTAATTGTTTCAAGAAATTATCATTTCAGTTATGAACCTCAATAAGTTTAAATTTTTTTTCATTCATTATTTTGAGATGCCTTAAATTGAACATAACTCGAACTATGAATGTATGTCAAAAATCATGCCAAAATTTTAAAAATTATTTCTGTATTTTTCTGCAGCCCACCAGTGAGACGCCAGTGGGGCCGTCGAGACAGACCTGTACTGCACACTTCCCTGGTTCAAGATGAGAACTTGCACCATTTGTTTTTCTCTCAGCATCACCACCAACAGGTTTCTTTAGATGAGTCCAGACAATACAGCCATACCAGCACACCGCCACGCATGCTTCACCCTGCGGCCCACCTGCCCCAGCAGAGCCCCATCATGGTGGATCTACACGAACAGGTAATGTGCACAGCGCTTCATGCTACAGATTAAGGCTACCAAGTACCCAAGTTTTTTTTTCCTCATAATTACTACATTCTTTTTATCCCCCAGAAAGACAAAAGCAGACTTCTCACTGCCTTCATCTATTTATTAAACATTTTATCTTTTGGAAGCTAAGAGCCATGTAAATCACTATGATGCTTTGAGATAAGGGCTGGTTGGCTGTGTTGGTGATCCACCCTGCCTCACTTTTGTTTTTATAAAAACTGTGCTAATGGCCAAAATACCCATGTGAATACTAGCGCTGTGTCAAAGGTTTAGATAATTTCGCCTATATACTGGTAAATAGAAGTGTGGTACAATCAGATACAGCAGACTAGTTCTTCTTGTGTAGAAATTATTTGAATATACTCAATTTGTCATTAGTAAACCTAATTGTTACCTTCCTAATTGCAGATGCACCAGGGGTCCGTTCCAATATCATACACTGTTACCACGGTGACGACTCACGGCTTCCCCATCCACGCCGGGCAGCCCCTTCCCGGGTGCAGCACTCAGCAGCTGCCAGCATGCTCGGTAATGTTCAGCGGACAGCTCTCTCTGCTCTGCTGCCTTCCTCCTCCTGTGAGTTTGAAAAGGAAGAGCCCAAATGTCAGTGGCATCCATGTAGCGCACCATCCCGCCATGCAATCTGTCACTGTTCAAAGTAGTGAGCTGCTTTTATTGTGCAAGATGGCGACAGTTAAATCAAACCCAATCAATCATTGTATATGAATAAATGTGGTTATTGCTGCACTTCACTATAATATTTGGTGGTGCTGAAAAATCTTTTTTAAACAGGCTTGTGTTGTGGCATTGTTGTTCGTGTTGTGATTTATGTAACACATTGCTCTTCACCAGAAATGAATCATCAAGTGCCATGCTGTAATCAGAAACGCTATGTGTATTTTAACCTTGTTTTCACCAAGCGGTCGAGTAATGAAGAAACAGTCTTTGCCAGACCTTTTTCTCGCTTCTTATTGGCTTTTAAATGTCTTTTAGGTTAGTATAAGTTTAACTAAATAGAAAAATAGAAGAAAAGTCCTAATCATGGTGATATATAACTAACTTGACTTGTCTGATACGTGTAGCCCCAGACCACTTGGTGCCTAAACAAAAACTTTTTGTGTAGCCTATGATAGTTATGATAATACAGTGAATTTGATGTGTTTCTTCATGCGTCTTTCTCTCTTTCTCTTTCAGCTCATTCAGGCATGCACCATGCAGCACATGCCAGTGTCTTATCAAGCCTTTCCGCCCCTGATCTCCAGCGAACATTTTGTATTGCACCCGACGCCCTCTGTCCCACCCACCCAGCCACCGCACCTTACTCCTCTGAGCCAGTTTGTCCCTTTACAGCCTCAGCACCCACGCATGGTGAGTGCATTCTGCTCGTTTCAAGTAGGTTCTTCTCATGTTCGGGAATGTTTAAAAGGTGTCAAAGGAATGTGCAAAGGTTCATTTCACTTTTGTCCAAGAAAAAATAGCAGACTTTACCAACCCTTTCTCATCTGAAGTACAGCATGTACATTATCTACTTGTCTGCACCGAAATGCTATTGCTGTCCCTGGAATGTTCCACATTCTGGCATTAGTCCGGTTCCTTATATACTTTTGTGGGAATTTTTTGGGGATTTGCTAACCTATATATTTTTGGAAAGGTTATAGTATATGGAGTCAGAAAATCAGTGTTTACATTTGCCCACATGTCTTTATGGCGGCCATATTGGATTTTTTAAAAAATGGCCGCCAAAAAACCCTTTTTGGAATATCTCAGCCTCTGAATAAGTCGAAATGTTGATTTTAACTGCTAAACCCACATTTTCAGGGTCAGGGAATCAAATGGTGCTAGTTACAAACCTGTAAGACCTACCCACATTAACCCTGAGATGAATAAGTGGGTCAAAAATGACCCGGTTTGGTTGTTTTCTTGCAATTTCACTGTAATATTCACATGTAATACTCCATGTTCCTCCAAAAACATGTTTTTTTTGTTTTGTTTTTAAATGATCCTGCTGAAATACATCAACAATATGGGTAAAACTAATTATAAACATCACATGCAGCTGGTCAGATAACTCAAAGAGTTTAAAATTAGCTAACATAAAAATTTGGATATTGGATGTAAACACACACATTTATACACAATATGATTACACAACTTTTTTATGAGACATTTTCTATACATCATCATTATCATCATCACTTTCATACAACCATAGACTGTATATATGAGTGGACAGATCTAACACTGTAGCCGCCATGTGCCAAATAGGAAGTTCTCCAGGAGGCTCTTCTGGCTCCAATGGACTTACATTAGGATCTTGTGGCTCCTCTCTCTGTACCTGCTGCAGTGAGCCTCAAACATTTTGGTCTTAAAATGTTTGTGTTAACCCACGACACATGATCCTATTCATAATATAGAGTGTGGCTCCAGATTGGCTCCTGTAACCGTGAACATCACAAGCCTCATTTGAGTGGCTCTGTGGGTCACACTCACTTAGTCCACTTCTTTTATACAGTCTATGCAACAACATGGCTTCAGAATCATCATCATTCTGGCACTGGCTGCTGCACTGACACATGTCGGTACAGGATAAACCTTTAGTTTCTGGTGTGCAGTTCTGCAGTCGCCTTTGTACTTGGCAGTGGTGAACCGTGGACCTGGACCCTGAGCCTTCATTAGGACCAACTGCTGCTATCGGCCAAATACCTGCAAAGAGTGAGGCAAGTCCTAAGAAGCCAGCTCAATAGCAAGAATAAGGCACAGGCAATCAACAGCTCTGCCCTGCCAGTGATCATATACCCTGCAGGAATCATAAGCTGACCAAAGGAGGAGATACAGACCACAGATGTTAAGACACGAAAGCTCCTGACCATGCATGGAGGGTTCCATCCCAATGGCTTGAGAGGGTCTGAAGGACACACAGAGGCTCATTCTGGAGGTCAGGAGCAGGCCGTGGGCACTTGAGTAATAGAGGCCCAGATCTACCACACCAAACAAGAGCCACGGTGTAGACTGTGCAAAGAGGCTCCTGAGACAGTCCAGCACATAACTGCAGGGTGTAAGATGCTGCAGGGAAAGCATACATGGAGCGACATAACCAAGTGGCGGGCATAGTGTACAGAAACATCTGTGCAGAGTACGGGCTGGAGACCCCAGGATCAAGGTGGGAAACACCTCCAAAGGTTGTGGAGAACGACTGAGCCAAGATCCTGTGGGACTTCCAGATACAGACTGACAGGATGGTGATTGACCAACCAGACATAGTGGTGGTGGATAAGAAACAGAGCAGAGCCGTGGTGGTGGACATCACAATACCAAGTGAAAAGGAAAAAGGAACCGCCTGTCAATCTCACGTTCCGTCCTCCCCTCACTCATGAACAAGACCCCGAGATACTTGAACTCCTCCACTTGAGGCAGGGACTCTCCACCCACTCGGAGAGGGCAAGACGCCTTTTTCTGGTCGAGAACCATGGCCTCGGATTTGGAGGAGATGATCTTCATACCAGCTGCTTCACACACGGGTCAAACTGCCCCAGTGCTACAGGTCCTGGTTTGATGAAGACAACAGGACAACATCATCTGTGAACAGCAGAGATGATCCTGTGGTCCCCAAACCAGACTGTTCGGCCCCTGACTGCACCGAGAAATTCTGTCCATAAATACAATGAACAGAACCGGTGACAGTTGCGGCCCTGGTGGAGTCCAACATACACCGGGAATAGGTCTGACTTACTGCCGGCAATGAACACAGCTCCTGCTCCGGTCGTACAGGAACCAGACAGCCCTTAGCAAAGGGCCCCGGACCCCATACTCCCAGAGCACCCCCCACAGGACACCACAAGGGACACGGTCGAATGCCTTCTCCAGATCCACAAAGCACATGTGGACTGGTTGGGCAAACTCCCATGAACCCTCGAGCACCCGATGGAGAGTGTAGAGCTGGTCCAGTGTTCCACGACTGGGATGAAAACCACGGTTGGATTCTCCTCTCCAGTCCCTGGCACAGACCGGGGAGGCTGAGAAGTGTGATTCCCCTGTAGTTGGAACACACCCTCCAGTCCCCCTTCTTATACAGAGGGACCAACACCCCGGGCTGCCAGTCCAGAGGTACTGTCCCCGACCGCCACACGATGTTGAAGAGGCGTGTCAGTCAAGACCCACAACATCCAGAGACTTAAGGTACTCAGGATGGATCTCATCCACCCACAGGCTTTATATTATGAATAGGATTTTTTTGATGGACAAAATAGCAAAAAAAATAAATAAAAAATCAGGATCATGTAGAGCGGGTTCATACAAACATTTTAAGACCAAAATGTCAAGGCTCACTGCAGCAGGTACAGAGAGAGGAGCCACAAGATCCTAATGTAAGTCCATTGGAGCCAGAGTCAGAAGGAGCCAGAAGAGCCTCCTGGAGAACTTCCTATTTGGCACACGGCAGCTCCAGTGTTAGATCTGTCCTCGTATATACCGTCTATGGTTGTATGAAAGTGATGATGATAATGATGATGTATAGAAAATGTCTCATAAAAAAGTTGTGTAATCATATTGTGTCTAAATGTGTGTGTTTACATCCAATATCCAAATTTTATGTTAGCCACTTTTAAACTCTTTGAGTTATCTGACCAGCTGCATGTGATGTTTATAATTAGTTTTACCCATATTGTTGATGTATTTCAGCAGGATAATAAAAAAAAAAAAAAAAAAAAAAAACATGTTTTTTGGAGGAACATGGAGTATTACATGTGAATATTACAGTGAAAATGCAAGAAAACAACCAAACGGGGTCATTTTTGACCCACTTATTCATCTAAGGGTTAATGTGGGTAGGTCTTACAGGTTTGTAACTAGCACCATTTGATTCCCTGACCCTGAAAATGTGGGTTTAGCAGTTAAAATCAACATTTCAACTTATTCAGAGGCTGAGATATTCCAAAAAGGGCTTTTTGGCGGGCTTTTTGGCGGCCATTTTTAAAAAAATCCAATATGGCCGCCATAAAGACATGTGGGCAAATGCAAACATTGATTTTCTGACTCCATATACTATAACCTTTCCAAAAATATATAGGTTAGCAAATCCCCAAAAACTTCCTACTAAGGTCAAAAAATGGCAATAAGGAACCGGACTACATTAAACTTGTCTATAAATGCCCTTACGGTCAACCTCGCCTCAGATCTGACCTGTAACATGTCCTGATGCTGTCACCTGCTTGTCTCCATGGGCATAGTTTGATTCTATACTGGAAATTCAAGACAAAAAAAACTCTCTCTAATATCTCTATGGAGACAAAGAGACAGAAATATGACATGGTGTCCTTTTTTAAAGTACTGGAGAATATTGTGATGTGACCATAAAAACAACAATTTAAGAGGCCAGTAGTATCCATACGTTCATGGTCCTGTCCTGCTTTAGCCTCTGCAAAGGGTGGACAACGAAGTGGACCTAAGAGGGGACCAGCACCCACTAGGGACCTTCTCGTACCCTCCGTCTCACCACCCACCAGCGCTGCCTCCGTCTCTGCCCCTACAGTATCTTCCTCAAGAGCCTCTGCATCAGGAGCTTCCCTTTGGAGTGGTAAGAGAATGTATTTCAGTACAACCTATATAGTCTGGCACTGACACACTTCTGGGCTCAGCATAGATGCACCTGGGCCTTACACAAAATATTATTCTCAGATTTTAGTATTAAACTTTCCTGCTGGAGGGCCCATTACTTGCTTGTGTCCATGGAGATGTTATTTCTTTGCCTGCAGTATTATGCCATATAAGCATGGCATTAAACATATCAATCTCCACTCACAATATGAATGCATGTTATTAAAGATATTTTTGAGCAATAAAAACACGCATAATTTAATCATTGCCTGTTTTGTTGCAGCCATACCCCCACATGTTGCCGCGGCGACAGCGATACCGGCCACAGCAGCCGTTGCCCCCTCCGCCTCCTCCTCCATCCTACTACCCAGGCTTCCTTCCCTACTTCCTGTGAGTAAAGCACAGTTAAACAAAGCTAAAAGGGACCATGTTTCTCAACAGTGCCCCTTTCTCTGCCCTCTGTCTCAGGTCAATGCTTCCTGTGCCTCCGACGGCAGTGGGCCCAGCCATAAGCCTAGACCTGGATGTGGATGATGTGGAAATGGAGAACTATGAGGTAACACACATCTCGATTACATGCACTGCAGTTAACATTCAATAATTGGTTATCATTGGTATTTTTAATATACTTTGGTATGATTTTTCAGTATAGATATTTGAGACAGAATGCAGGGTGTCTCTGGGCTCTTGGTGATCTTTCCTTTTTGTCAGGCACTGTTGAATCTGGCAGAGAGGCTGGGAGAGGCCAAACCTCGCGGCCTGACTAAAGCAGATATAGAGCAGCTTCCATCATACAGATTCAGCTCAGAGAATCATCTTTCTGAACAAACGCTGTAAGACCCTTTCATAAGCTCTTCTTTTATGGTTACAGCTTTTTATGAATCTGGAACTGACATTTTCCTTTTCTATTAGGTGTGTTGTGTGCTTTAGTGACTTTGAGTGTAGGCAGCTACTTCGGGTATTACCTTGTAACCACGAGTTCCACGCTAAGTGTGTGGATAAATGGTTAAAGGTAGGTTGCAGCTTTTCCATCTGTCTTATTCAGAAGCTGTTTTTACTAAAGAGTAGAACTTGAAATGGAAAATTTGTTTGTATTGCCTGATGTCCTGTGTCCTGTGCTCACTTGCAGACCAATCGCACTTGTCCCATTTGCCGAGCAGATGCCTCGGATGTGCACCGGGAGGCGGAGTGAGTGCCCTCTGCTGGACTGTGCTTCTATCTGTCCTGAGGCTGGGACTCTGCGCCTGAACTTGCGCCTCCAGTGTTTAGCTTACCGACCCACTCCTGTCCTTTCTCTATGAAAAGCAATCCAGGATATCTGGAGCCTGTTGTACCTCTGCTGTGCGTCATTCTCAGAGTCTCATGAAACCCACTGCCTATTGCAGCCTATAGCCACAGTTGTGGATTGCCAGCCACTTCTGTTTCTGCCCCCTTTGTCACAGATTCCAAAGATTTCCCTACAATGCATTCTTCGCTGCTTTTGTTTACAGGGTTTCAGTTTGATGTGGATCTGATTGTGGTCACAAGAACAGTGTTGGACTGGTCGGGAGAGCCTGGGGTGAGACGGCTGGACACTTTGTGCAATGAGCAGAAATGGAATAGGCATTCTTCACAGCATGGGTATCTGTGTTTGGGGGCACCGCCTGACCATCATATCATAGATGCATGTTTGCGTAAGTGTTGGGCTAAGTGACTTGTTAATAATGTATGTTCTGCAATAATGTATTGATCATTTCAACAGTTTTACCCCTTCTGTTAGATCTGCCAATGCTATTGTGAATGTGTGACTTGCTGTGGTTTAAAGCAGATGCAAGCGCCAGGTCGGACTGCAAAGGGACGGCCGTGTAATTGTGGGGTACTGTTGTGCCCAGATAATCTGCTCTGAAAAAAAAAAGGATTACGAGACTGCGTCTTTTTGAGGTTATTGGACAAAACTGCACAAGTGCTACATCCATCCTTCACATCGGCCATTTTCCTCTGGCACCATGCGCGTGTGCATACTGTTTGTCCTGCTCACAGAGCCAATGCATTGTGTAACCACTGGATACAGGGCAGCATGCTAGAGTTTGCATGAACTGTTGATTCAGATTAGCAATATTTTAATCAAGCATTGCCACCAAAATCCTAATCTTAAATGTAAGAAAAAAGAAGTAACAAAGAAGCATATTAAAAAGAACTGCTTGCTTGTTGAGAAGGTGCTGTGAGGGAAGCTAACATGTGGTTCACTGTGACTGTGTTTAAAGGACAGTGGACGTCAGACGCCGCACTTGTGCCGCTCTTAAACAAAGGCCTGTGCAGAAAGCAATATGTGCCGCCAGGGAGAGTTTTACAAACATTCTTCTTCCGCTTTAGGAACACTGGGCTTTTCAGTTCTGTTTGTGAGCCAAATCCATTCTACAGATATAGCCTGCTGTTCAACATTACAGATCTGCCTTCAAATGACCTTGACAAGCACAAACCTATTGTTAACCCTGAAAAATGTTGATTTCTCTTGCGTTGGGAGTATGCAGTTAAAAAAAAAAAAAAAAAAAAGTTTATTTATTGATTTTATCTTGTAGAGAAAATCCATTGAAGGAAACAGATGGAGCACTAACTATGTTTGTGTCTGGTATGTTATATTCTGGTGACTTGGTCAGGTCATTGTCTTAGGCCATGGTAATGCTTTTGTAAACGAGCAATTGTATGTAGTGTCAGCGTGAATGCTTTAGATAAACGTTTGAAGACACAAGAATGTCACGTGAATAGATCTGATTCTCTTGGTTTGTTGGCTCGCCTGGTTTTACTGCTATCATCATCACTGTCAATGCTGGACAACAACAATAACAATATTATTCTATATATATATACACATATACCTACACATACATCACTTCCACTTTTTGGATATAATATTTAAATAAGGTTCCCATAATTTCACAAAGTCTTTTCGTTTTCCCTTTGCTATAAATGTCAATCTTTCAAGGCCGACACATTCTGAAATTTCCTTAACCCACTGTTTTGTTGAGGGGGCTTCAATGTTTTTCCAGTTTAAGGCGATGGTTCTTCTTGCTTGCATGTAGTAGTCCAAAGTCCAATAATTTTGCTTGCTTTTTCGTCTGTAATAAACCTTCCGGATATATTCCCAATACACAAAGTTTTGCACACATAGGAATCTTTACACTGAATATTTCTGTCAAACATTTTAAAACTTCTTTCCAGAATATTTGAATTGCCGAGCATTCCCAAAGACAGTGTATAAGAGTTCCTTTATTATATTATTACTGCATTTGGTACAAGTGTCAGGAATATTGCTGGAGATTGTGCAGTGTTTTAGTTTGTGAAGTATGGAAAAATGTTACTATTGTGTGTGCAAGTTCAGTTTTATTCAGTTGGGGGTATACTGACATGGTTTTATATTATGGTTATTTATGCAGTTATTCTTCAGTTTAAACAGAAAGTCACTTCAAAAGAATATTGTGGTTTACACTGCACAAAACATAAATACAAAACGCCTCCCTAAAAGCGTAAATCTTCTTTAAATGAGATAGATGTAGTTGTCCTAAGCTCTAGTTTAAAGAGTATTACAATGCTGTCCTTCCATTATCAGCCCTGTGGGAGTTCAGACCTGTAAACACACTGTAAACATTGCTATAATACTCTGCTATTATCGCCATTTGAAATAAGAGCATTAGCATCACAGACCTGCCATCTTGCACAAGCATAAGTAAGTAATGCAGTTGTCAAAAGGTTTCTTCCCAAACATTGTGTGAGATCAAACAAGGAGTGTTTATTCAGTAAAATAAATCTCAGTTCATTTTAATAGTACAGCTTTATAAAAATGGCACATTGGATTGTAAAATATCCAGTGGACTAGACCTCAGTATGTAACAGTATATAAGACTGGATGAGTGGTATTGCCAAAAAATGTTATGTAGATGTAAAAATTGTAATTTCATTTTAATTATTCGTCAAGTAAAATTTATATCATGTGACAAAATGAGGACAAACTTTATTGATTCGGTAGAGAAATTACTTGCAAGTATAGCATAAAATGTTTTTCAGTAAGACCAGGTAGAGAAACAAAATAAGTCAAATGCTGTAGTAGTATATGGTAAAATGTAGGGCCCGACCGATATGGATTTTGTTGCGGCCAATATGAAACCGATAAATTGGGAGTTGGAGGTGTCAATAGCCGATATAATCGCCGATATATTTAGTGATGTAAAAATTCACTGTAAATCTGGTTTTGGTTTGGCTCTAGTGGATTTTAAATTGGATTTATTTAGGCAACATTTATTGTTATTCTGACTTTTTGTGTCATATTTACAGACAGTAGGCCGGCCTAGTGGCGTTCTAGCTACTAGTGATGGGTATTTCAGTTCTTTTTAGAGAACCGGCTCTTTTGGCTCGGCTCACTAAAAGCAGCCGGCTCTCCAAGCGACTCTTCAGATTGTTTTGTTGCAAGCAGGACTAAACCAGAACTGAACCAGGTCTAAAGCAGGACTGAAAAAGGACTAAACCAGGACTAAAACAGATCTAAACCATGTGTAAAACAGGACTAAACCAAAACTGAACCAGGACTGAGTGTCAGGACTCGGTCTCTCCCTCTCTCAAGTACAAGATTAGTCCTGGTTTATTTATTTTATGCTGAACTGCAGCCAAACATGCACTTTTTTTTATCCTATGCACACCCAGATTTCTGAAAGCTTCGTTTCGAGCCGCTGCCGCTGTCAAACTACCACATGTCTGCACGTGACGTGAAGAGAAAAACAGTGAGAGAAAGAGAAAACACGGCTCCCAATAAGGAGCAGGCTCCCGTTGCTTCGTTCGCAACCGACCCATCACTACTAGCTAGTAAAGAAACTATCGCTATTAGCCTTTAGCAGTAATACATAATTCACACCTCTATTCACAGCTCATTTACATATCAATGCTGGTCCAGTAACATGTATACGGCCAATACGGTCACTTTACAGTAGGCCAATAGAAGAGAAAACAGACTGTTTATGTGTGGGAGCTACAGCAGCTAATTGCTAACCAATAACCAAAACTAGCTTCAAAGTTGACATATTTCCAAATGTAAGTAAATATGATATATGATAACAAATGGTGAGGCAAGAGTGCAAGATGTGAATAATGTCTGTTTTAAAGTAAAGTATTTCTCACAGTTTTTTTACCTGAATTGTTTTGTAAATCGCACTGTTCTGTATAACTCTTATTATTGTGTTTTTAGAGTGAACATGTTTACCATCTGTCCAGGGATTGCAGATGAAAAACAACTTTCCAGCTAATTCTTGTACATTTACAGAAATGTTGATTCATGTACATAGGTCCTGCTAAATAAACCATAGTCCACTAATCGAAGACCGTCCACTGTGAGGAAATTGTTTTCAGATTGCGTTGTCTTAAGCCCTATTTATGCAGGATTAGTTTTACCTGGGGACCTCGGATAAATTGTAATAGTCCATGTCTGTAAAAGTGTCTTACCTCCTGTAATTCAGCAAACTCAGGGGTCCTCAGGTGATTCTAGACCCATGTGAATAGTCATATCTGTAAATTGGCCTTTTTCCATTTATTGCCCGTGCACTGAAGCTAATAGTGATTAAATTTTAGGTCCATATACAAACTAAATTAACAATACTAATTTGCCACAGATCATAGTAAAAAACAGGAAACAAACTGGCTCATAAGTACAGCTCTGTTGTCATGGCAACTGACGACCAAGCTGCATGGAGGTTGTTTATAAAAGTTTGGGTGCTTTTATTTGTGAAGTTTAGATGGATGACTGCTGTATCAGTGTGAACAGATTAGCATTAAATGAGTGTACAGTAAATGTGCTTTGGCCTCTTCTAGCACTAATGTATATAGCACTTCCAGACAGTCAAAGTTGCGTTTCAATTTCATGTATTATTCATTCACTTTATGCCGTAATTTTTGGACTATAAGTCGCTCCGGGGTATAATTCGCACCAGCCAAAAATGCATAATAAAGAAGAAAAAACCTGTATAAGTCGCACCGGACTATAACTCGCACTTTTGGGGGGAAATTTCTTATATAAAATCAGAGACCAGAAACTGACATTTCATCTTGAAAGGCAAGTTGTAGTAATAACAACAACAGACTGTTAATGTCACATATGAACAGTTCTTCAGATAACCATAACATAAACAACAGAACAAGTTTACTAAACTCTCCATCTCACTCCAAATCACTAAATCCATTGAATTCTTCATACTCCGTGTCACTTCTGAGCAACTCAGCAACCTCGGAAGGTAAATGGAGCGCCGCTTCCTCTTCTGCGTAGCTGTCGTCAGACTCTTCATCAGTTCCCGTTAGAATTATTCTGGCCTTTCTGAATCCCAACAGGATGGTTTCGGTTGTCACTGAAGTCGAAGCTTTGTCGATTCATCCAATGACTTGCAGGAAAGTTGCATGGCGCACCCGCCTGGTTGTCACAAGTTTCTGTCTCATTTCAAACTTTCTTCTGCAGCTGCTGCTTGATTACTGTTTTCGGCTGCATGTTTCTGTACTTGCAGTTTGTAATCTGCAAAATATGATTTTCTTTTTGGGGGCATTTGTGTTCAGTTTTCTCAGTTGTCTTAATAAGTTTGTTTAAATTTAAAAAATGTCTGTGGTACAGAAGTAATGGTGCGATCGACTGACATGATCCCAGACAGGACAGCGGCTCTTTCTGCAGGAGACATGTGCAGAGCGCAGTGACAGTGGTACAGGAGTGACACACAAGACTAGAGCGCCCTCTCAAGGCTGTCATTGTGACAATTTTAATATATAAGTCGCACCGGAGTATAAGTCGCAGGACCACCCAAACCATGAAAAAAGTGTGACTTATAGTCCAAAAAATATGGTACATGGTAGTGATATTGGTAAGCTGCTATCACTACCACAGCTGCCCTGGGGTAGGCTGCCAGTCTGTACCATCAGTCTATGTGACCACCAATCACCCACTCACACATCATATTCTATACAAACATCACTTGAAATGGACAAACCCAATGATACAAGAAGAACATGCCAACTTCAGAAACTTACAAATCAAACCAAGGACCTTCTGCCTGTGACGAGAGAGCTGTACCACACTGNCTTTCCAAAACAATGCGATTCAAGGAACATGCTCGCGCCAATGGATGTTGTTGTCGCTGCCTAATTACTGTCACATTTTACCCCGTTTAACGGCAATTTTAGCTCCTAACCACTCCGCGTAAAACTCATCCAAAATCTCAGCCCATCTCTGGACTAAACCGGTCCCGTATGCAGAAACTCCAGGTATTTGTTAGCAAGTTAGCATTAGCGGGCTGCTAGCACCACCCTCGTCGGGGACATTGTCAAAAACCTCTCGCTGGCAGCAGCATTCGGCTATTGTCAGGTAAGATTGAAAACAGATGATCATGCAAAGTGTTTCTACTCCGCAGTGGAACTGTTTTGGATAAGAAAAAGCACATTCCTGCAAACTAGTGCTATGCCTGCTACTCTTATGCTAGCCATGTTTACCAGAGTCCTGTAGTATATAGGTGTATTTATTGGAAACCACTTGTCTGCTTTATGTATAACTGCTCGTTTGTATGAAAATGAAGGACAGACGTATAAAATGGATTCAACATTGGCTGATAGCAAAGAATTAATGTATCATAGATCACCATAACGTATTTAATCTTTATCTATCTGTGATTTAAACTCTTGTTATTCCAGTTTATTCCAGATATAACAGTGAAATACATGCGTGTATTTTCTTTCCAGACCCGAAGTTTTCCTAATGTGCCGTTTGCAGCTATTGTGAACAAAGCTGTAGCCGTTGGAGCCAGGCTAAAGTTAGCAGCTCTCCTTCAGCCGAGAGGTCGTACATGAAAAGAAGCTAAACGCTGAACCTAATGCTGTGTGAAAAAGACAGTGCTCTGTTCGGTTGTGTTCTGAACACAGAATATGCGGAGAAGCACCTGCAGTCTTGTGTTAGCCACAGTCCCGTTTCTTTGCTGTGTCTTTGTTGTTGCTTTGTCTCTGAGCACATGGCTCTCCATGTTTTTGTTCAGGCGCGCCACAGCGACCTCTATTTGTGCAATGCTTGTCACATGAACGCACTTAATTTGGAAATATATTACATGTTTGCTACCGAAACTTTGTATTTTCATATATAATATCATTATTTTATTGAATTTCTAATATGACAAATTATAGTACTGACACGCTTTGCTAAAAGTCATGAGAATGTTTATACACATGTAAAATGTAAACATTTTTGGAATAAATAATGTAATTACAGTCACTTACATCCTTCCTGGTTATAATACTGAATTCTCCGTTGGTTAAAATACTGAAAATGCAACTTGTGGATTATCTAATCATAAACTCATGTTGACACCGTCACAGCGGTGTGGATAGAATTAAAGTGAATTCTGTTGTGTGAGTTATGTTTTATGTTTGTTTTTACAGGGTGTAGACAATCAGAGGCCACATCCAAGTGCCTCCACTGGACGCTTTCCATTCCCAGAGTGTGACTCGTCTGCACGACGTCACCAATGCGACCATGGGAAGTAGCAGTGAATAGGCTGCCACCAACAGCCCCCTTAAACCCTCGGAGGTTCCTCGCAGAGCCCTGCAACACCCCTGCGCATCTCAGGAGAAGGCAAGTCTGTGTGCATCCTTTACACATGCAAGGTCAACATCAGGGCTGTACAATGATATTAATTTAAGCGTGATTACAATTACCACTTCAGTAAATTAAATGGTATATAAAATTGTTAAAATCTGTAATAATATGAGCATTTGTTTTACAAAACCTGGTGTAAAGCCAGCCGTTTAATCTCCTGTGACTTTTAAAACATAAAAAAAACCTTAGTAATAAATGACTGTACTGATTAACTTCACAGTGAATATGTAATTGTTTCAAGAAATTATCATTTCAGTTATGAACCTCAATAAGTTTAAATTTTTTTTCATTCATTATTTTGAGATGCCTTAAATTGAACATAACTCGAACTATGAATGTATGTCAAAAATCATGCCAAAATTTTAAAAATTATTTCTGTATTTTTCTGCAGCCCACCAGTGAGACGCCAGTGGGGCCGTCGAGACAGACCTGTACTGCACACTTCCCTGGTTCAAGATGAGAACTTGCACCATTTGTTTTTCTCTCAGCATCACCACCAACAGGTTTCTTTAGATGAGTCCAGACAATACAGCCATACCAGCACACCGCCACGCATGCTTCACCCTGCGGCCCACCTGCCCCAGCAGAGCCCCATCATGGTGGATCTACACGAACAGGTAATGTGCACAGCGCTTCATGCTACAGATTAAGGCTACCAAGTACCCAAGTTTTTTTTTCCTCATAATTACTACATTCTTTTTATCCCCCAGAAAGACAAAAGCAGACTTCTCACTGCCTTCATCTATTTATTAAACATTTTATCTTTTGGAAGCTAAGAGCCATGTAAATCACTATGATGCTTTGAGATAAGGGCTGGTTGGCTGTGTTGGTGATCCACCCTGCCTCACTTTTGTTTTTTATAAAAACTGTGCTAATGGCCAAAATACCCATGTGAATACTAGCGCTGTGTCAAAGGTTTAGATAATTTCGCCTATATACTGGTAAATAGAAGTGTGGTACAATCAGATACAGCAGACTAGTTCTTCTTGTGTAGAAATTATTTGAATATACTCAATTTGTCATTAGTAAACCTAATTGTTACCTTCCTAATTGCAGATGCACCAGGGGTCCGTTCCAATATCATACACTGTTACCACGGTGACGACTCACGGCTTCCCCATCCACGCCGGGCAGCCCCTTCCCGGGTGCAGCACTCAGCAGCTGCCAGCATGCTCGGTAATGTTCAGCGGACAGCTCTCTCTGCTCTGCTGCCTTCCTCCTCCTGTGAGTTTGAAAAGGAAGAGCCCAAATGTCAGTGGCATCCATGTAGCGCACCATCCCGCCATGCAATCTGTCACTGTTCAAAGTAGTGAGCTGCTTTTATTGTGCAAGATGGCGACAGTTAAATCAAACCCAATCAATCATTGTATATGAATAAATGTGGTTATTGCTGCACTTCACTATAATATTTGGTGGTGCTGAAAAATCTTTTTTAAACAGGCTTGTGTTGTGGCATTGTTGTTCGTGTTGTGATTTATGTAACACATTGCTCTTCACCAGAAATGAATCATCAAGTGCCATGCTGTAATCAGAAACGCTATGTGTATTTTTAACCTTGTTTTCACCAAGCGGTCGAGTAATGAAGAAACAGTCTTTGCCAGACCTTTTTCTCGCTTCTTATTGGCTTTTAAATGTCTTTTAGGTTAGTATAAGTTTAACTAAATAGAAAAATAGAAGAAAAGTCCTAATCATGGTGATATATATAACTAACTTGACTTGTCTGATACGTGTAGCCCCAGACCACTTGGTGCCTAAACAAAAACTTTTTGTGTAGCCTATGATAGTTATGATAATACAGTGAATTTGATGTGTTTCTTCATGCGTCTTTCTCTCTTTCTCTTTCAGCTCATTCAGGCATGCACCATGCAGCACATGCCAGTGTCTTATCAAGCCTTTCCGCCCCTGATCTCCAGCGAACATTTTGTATTGCACCCGACGCCCTCTGTCCCACCCCACCAGCCACCGCACCTTACTCCTCTGAGCCAGTTTGTCCCTTTACAGCCTCAGCACCCACGCATGGTGAGTGCATTCTGCTCGTTTCAAGTAGGTTCTTCTCATGTTCGGGAATGTTTAAAGGTGTCAAAGGAATGTGCAAAGGTTCATTTCACTTTTGTCCAAGAAAAAATAGCAGACTTTACCAACCCTTTCTCATCTGAAGTACAGCATGTACATTATCTACTTGTCTGCACCGAAATGCTATTGCTGTCCCTGGAATGTTCCACATTCTGGCATTAGTCCGGTTCCTTATATACTTTTGTGGGAATTTTTTGGGGATTTGCTAACCTATATATTTTTGGAAAGGTTATAGTATATGGAGTCAGAAAATCAGTGTTTACATTTGCCCACATGTCTTTATGGCGGCCATATTGGATTTTTTAAAAAATGGCCGCCAAAAAACCCTTTTTGGAATATCTCAGCCTCTGAATAAGTCGAAATGTTGATTTTAACTGCTAAACCCACATTTTCAGGGTCAGGGAATCAAATGGTGCTAGTTACAAACCTGTAAGACCTACCCACATTAACCCTGAGATGAATAAGTGGGTCAAAAATGACCCGGTTTGGTTGTTTTCTTGCAATTTCACTGTAATATTCACATGTAATACTCCATGTTCCTCCAAAAACATGTTTTTTTGTTTTGTTTTTAAATGATCCTGCTGAAATACATCAACAATATGGGTAAAACTAATTATAAACATCACATGCAGCTGGTCAGATAACTCAAAGAGTTTAAAATTAGCTAACATAAAATTTGGATATTGGATGTAAACACACACATTTATACACAATATGATTACACAACTTTTTTATGAGACATTTTCTATACATCATCATTATCATCATCACTTTCATACAACCATAGACTGTATATATGAGTGGACAGATCTAACACTGTAGCCGCCATGTGCCAAATAGGAAGTTCTCCAGGAGGCTCTTCTGGCTCCAATGGACTTACATTAGGATCTTGTGGCTCCTCTCTCTGTACCTGCTGCAGTGAGCCTCAAACATTTTGGTCTTAAAATGTTTGTGTTAACCCACGACACATGATCCTATTCATAATATAGAGTGTGGCTCCAGATTGGCTCCTGTAACCGTGAACATCACAAGCCTCATTTGAGTGGCTCTGTGGGTCACACTCACTTAGTCCACTTCTTTTATACAGTCTATGCAACAACATGGCTTCAGAATCATCATCATTCTGGCACTGGCTGCTGCACTGACACATGTCGGTACAGGATAAACCTTTAGTTTCTGGTGTGCAGTTCTGCAGTCGCCTTTGTACTTGGCAGTGGTGAACCGTGGACCTGGACCCTGAGCCTTCATTAGGACCAACTGCTGCTATCGGCCAAATACCTGCAAAGAGTGAGGCAAGTCCTAAGAAGCCAGCTCAATAGCAAGAATAAGGCACAGGCAATCAACAGCTCTGCCCTGCCAGTGATCATATACCCTGCAGGAATCATAAGCTGACCAAAGGAGGAGATACAGACCACAGATGTTAAGACACGAAAGCTCCTGACCATGCATGGAGGGTTCCATCCCAATGGCTTGAGAGGGTCTGAAGGACACACAGAGGCTCATTCTGGAGGTCAGGAGCAGGCCGTGGGCACTTGAGTAATAGAGGCCCAGATCTACCACACCAAACAAGAGCCACGGTGTAGACTGTGCAAAGAGGCTCCTGAGACAGTCCAGCACATAACTGCAGGGTGTAAGATGCTGCAGGGAAAGCATACATGGAGCGACATAACCAAGTGGCGGGCATAGTGTACAGAAACATCTGTGCAGAGTACGGGCTGGAGACCCCAGGATCAAGGTGGGAAACACCTCCAAAGGTTGTGGAGAACGACTGAGCCAAGATCCTGTGGGACTTCCAGATACAGACTGACAGGATGGTGATTGACCAACCAGACATAGTGGTGGTGGATAAGAAACAGAGCAGAGCCGTGGTGGTGGACATCACAATACCAAGTGAAAAGGAAAAAGGAACCGCCTGTCAATCTCACGTTCCGTCCTCCCCTCACTCATGAACAAGACCCCGAGATACTTGAACTCCTCCACTTGAGGCAGGGACTCTCCACCCACTCGGAGAGGGCAAGACGCCTTTTTCTGGTCGAGAACCATGGCCTCGGATTTGGAGGAGATGATCTTCATACCAGCTGCTTCACACACGGGTCAAACTGCCCCAGTGCTACAGGTCCTGGTTTGATGAAGACAACAGGACAACATCATCTGTGAACAGCAGAGATGATCCTGTGGTCCCCAAACCAGACTGTTCGGCCCCTGACTGCACCGAGAAATTCTGTCCATAAATACAATGAACAGAACCGGTGACAGTTGCGGCCCTGGTGGAGTCCAACATACACCGGGAATAGGTCTGACTTACTGCCGGCAATGAACACAGCTCCTGCTCCGGTCGTACAGGAACCAGACAGCCCTTAGCAAAGGGCCCCGGACCCCATACTCCCAGAGCACCCCCCACAGGACACCACAAGGGACACGGTCGAATGCCTTCTCCAGATCCACAAAGCACATGTGGACTGGTTGGGCAAACTCCCATGAACCCTCGAGCACCCGATGGAGAGTGTAGAGCTGGTCCAGTGTTCCACGACTGGGATGAAAACCACGGTTGGATTCTCCTCTCCAGTCCCTGGCACAGACCGGGGAGGCTGAGAAGTGTGATTCCCCTGTAGTTGGAACACACCCTCCAGTCCCCCTTCTTATACAGAGGGACCAACACCCCGGGCTGCCAGTCCAGAGGTACTGTCCCCGACCGCCACACGATGTTGAAGAGGCGTGTCAGTCAAGACCCACAACATCCAGAGACTTAAGGTACTCAGGATGGATCTCATCCACCCACAGGCTTTTATATTATGAATAGGATTTTTTTGATGGACAAAATAGCAAAAAAAAAATTCAGGATCATGTAGAGCGGGTTCATACAAACATTTTAAGACCAAAATGTCAAGGCTCACTGCAGCAGGTACAGAGAGAGGAGCCACAAGATCCTAATGTAAGTCCATTGGAGCCAGAGTCAGAAGGAGCCAGAAGAGCCTCCTGGAGAACTTCCTATTTGGCACACGGCAGCTCCAGTGTTAGATCTGTCCTCGTATATACCGTCTATGGTTGTATGAAAGTGATGATGATAATGATGATGTATAGAAAATGTCTCATAAAAAAGTTGTGTAATCATATTGTGTCTAAATGTGTGTGTTTACATCCAATATCCAAATTTTATGTTAGCCACTTTTAAACTCTTTGAGTTATCTGACCAGCTGCATGTGATGTTTTATAATTAGTTTTACCCATATTGTTGATGTATTTCAGCAGGATAATAAAAAAAAAAAAAAAAAAAAAAACATGTTTTTGGAGGAACATGGAGTATTACATGTGAATATTACAGTGAAAATGCAAGAAAACAACCAAACGGGGTCATTTTTGACCCACTTATTCATCTAAGGGTTAATGTGGGTAGGTCTTACAGGTTTGTAACTAGCACCATTTGATTCCCTGACCCTGAAAATGTGGGTTTAGCAGTTAAAATCAACATTTCAACTTATTCAGAGGCTGAGATATTCCAAAAAGGGCTTTTTGGCGGGCTTTTTGGCGGCCATTTTAAAAAAAATCCAATATGGCCGCCATAAAGACATGTGGGCAAATGCAAACATTGATTTTCTGACTCCATATACTATAACCTTTCCAAAAATATATAGGTTAGCAAATCCCCAAAAACTTCCTACTAAGGTCAAAAAATGGCAATAAGGAACCGGACTACATTAAACTTGTCTATAAATGCCCTTACGGTCAACCTCGCCTCAGATCTGACCTGTAACATGTCCTGATGCTGTCACCTGCTTGTCTCCATGGGCATAGTTTGATTCTATACTGGAAATTCAAGACAAAAAAACTCTCTAATATCTCTATGGAGACAAAGAGACAGAAATATGACATGGTGTCCTTTTTAAAGTACTGGAGAATATTGTGATGTGACCATAAAAACAACAATTTAAGAGGCCAGTAGTATCCATACGTTCATGGTCCTGTCCTGCTTTAGCCTCTGCAAAGGGTGGACAACGAAGTGGACCTAAGAGGGGACCAGCACCCACTAGGGACCTTCTCGTACCCTCCGTCTCACCACCCACCAGCGCTGCCTCCGTCTCTGCCCCTACAGTATCTTCCTCAAGAGCCTCTGCATCAGGAGCTTCCCTTTGGAGTGGTAAGAGAATGTATTTCAGTACAACCTATATAGTCTGGCACTGACACACTTCTGGGCTCAGCATAGATGCACCTGGGCCTTACACAAAATATTATTCTCAGATTTTTAGTATTAAACTTTCCTGCTGGAGGGCCCATTACTTGCTTGTGTCCATGGAGATGTTATTTCTTTGCCTGCAGTATTATGCCATATAAGCATGGCATTAAACATATCAATCTCCACTCACAATATGAATGCATGTTATTAAAGATATTTTTGAGCAATAAAAACACGCATAATTTAATCATTGCCTGTTTTGTTGCAGCCATACCCCCACATGTTGCCGCGGCGACAGCGATACCGGCCACAGCAGCCGTTGCCCCCTCCGCCTCCTCCTCCATCCTACTACCCAGGCTTCCTTCCCTACTTCCTGTGAGTAAAGCACAGTTAAACAAAGCTAAAAGGGACCATGTTTCTCAACAGTGCCCCTTTCTCTGCCCTCTGTCTCAGGTCAATGCTTCCTGTGCCTCCGACGGCAGTGGGCCCAGCCATAAGCCTAGACCTGGATGTGGATGATGTGGAAATGGAGAACTATGAGGTAACACACATCTCGATTACATGCACTGCAGTTAACATTCAATAATTGGTTATCATTGGTATTTTTAATATACTTTGGTATGATTTTCAGTATAGATATTTGAGACAGAATGCAGGGTGTCTCTGGGCTCTTGGTGATCTTTCCTTTTTGTCAGGCACTGTTGAATCTGGCAGAGAGGCTGGGAGAGGCCAAACCTCGCGGCCTGACTAAAGCAGATATAGAGCAGCTTCCATCATACAGATTCAGCTCAGAGAATCATCTTTCTGAACAAACGCTGTAAGACCCTTTCATAAGCTCTTCTTTTATGGTTACAGCTTTTTATGAATCTGGAACTGACATTTTCCTTTTCTATTAGGTGTGTTGTGTGCTTTAGTGACTTTGAGTGTAGGCAGCTACTTCGGGTATTACCTTGTAACCACGAGTTCCACGCTAAGTGTGTGGATAAATGGTTAAAGGTAGGTTGCAGCTTTTCCATCTGTCTTATTCAGAAGCTGTTTTTACTAAAGAGTAGAACTTGAAATGGAAAATTTGTTTGTATTGCCTGATGTCCTGTGTCCTGTGCTCACTTGCAGACCAATCGCACTTGTCCCATTTGCCGAGCAGATGCCTCGGATGTGCACCGGGAGGCGGAGTGAGTGCCCTCTGCTGGACTGTGCTTCTATCTGTCCTGAGGCTGGGACTCTGCGCCTGAACTTGCGCCTCCAGTGTTTAGCTTACCGACCCACTCCTGTCCTTTCTCTATGAAAAGCAATCCAGGATATCTGGAGCCTGTTGTACCTCTGCTGTGCGTCATTCTCAGAGTCTCATGAAACCCACTGCCTATTGCAGCCTATAGCCACAGTTGTGGATTGCCAGCCACTTCTGTTTCTGCCCCCTTTGTCACAGATTCCAAAGATTTCCCTACAATGCATTCTTCGCTGCTTTTGTTTACAGGGTTTCAGTTTGATGTGGATCTGATTGTGGTCACAAGAACAGTGTTGGACTGGTCGGGAGCCTGGGGTGAGACGGCTGGACACTTTGTGCAATGAGCAGAAATGGAATAGGCATTCTTCACAGCATGGGTATCTGTGTTTGGGGGCACCGCCTGACCATCATAGATGCATGTTTGCGTAAGTGTTGGGCTAAGTGACTTGTTAATAATGTATGTTCTGCAATAATGTATTGATCATTTCAACAGTTTTACCCCTTCTGTTAGATCTGCCAATGCTATTGTGAATGTGTGACTTGCTGTGGTTTAAAGCAGATGCAAGCGCCAGGTCGGACTGCAAAGGGACGGCCGTGTAATTGTGTGGGTACTGTTGTGCCCAGATAATCTGCTCTGAAAAAAAAAAGGATTACGAGACTGCGTCTTTTTGAGGTTATTGGACAAAACTGCACAAGTGCTACATCCATCCTTCACATCGGCCATTTTCCTCTGGCACCATGCGCGTGTGCATACTGTTTGTCCTGCTCACAGAGCCAATGCATTGTGTAACCACTGGATACAGGGCAGCATGCTAGAGTTTGCATGAACTGTTGATTCAGATTAGCAATATTTTAATCAAGCATTGCCACCAAAATCCTAATCTTAAATGTAAGAAAAAGAAGTAACAAAGAAGCATATTAAAAAGAACTGCTTGCTTGTTGAGAAGGTGCTGTGAGGGAAGCTAACATGTGGTTCACTGTGACTGTGTTTAAAGGACAGTGGACGTCAGACGCCGCACTTGTGCCGCTCTTAAACAAAGGCCTGTGCAGAAAGCAATATGTGCCGCCAGGGAGAGTTTTACAAACATTCTTCCGCTTTAGGAACACTGGGCTTTTCAGTTCTGTTTGTGAGCCAAATCCATTCTACAGATATAGCCTGCTGTTCAACATTACAGATCTGCCTTCAAATGACCTTGACAAGCACAAACCTATTGTTAACCCTGAAAAATGTTGATTTCTCTTGCGTTGGGAGTATGCAGTTTAAAAAAAAAAAAAAAAAAAAGTTTATTTATTGATTTTATCTTGTAGAGAAAATCCATTGAAGGAAACAGATGGAGCACTAACTATGTTTGTGTCTGGTATGTTATATTCTGGTGACTTGGTCAGGTCATTGTCTTAGGCCATGGTAATGCTTTTGTAAACGAGCAATTGTATGTAGTGTCAGCGTGAATGCTTTAGATAAACGTTTGAAGACACAAGAATGTCCGTGTAGAAGTCACTGGTGTTGCTCGCTGTCCCTGTGATCTGGTGGGGTCAAAGGTCAGCGGAGTGTCCAGTAGTGAAGGAACACTGTTAGACTTCTAGATCACAAAAAAACAGGAAGTGGGGAGGGAAGAGCCACAGATGAATTTATTGCTTTGTATTAACTCTTGTCTCTTAACTGCCCCGTAAGCACTAACAGGCCTCGGACCCTCACTGTTGTGAGGAGTCTTGCCTTTTTCTTGACTTTTTTTCTTAAGTGAATGTGAGTCTTGTGTGTGTGCCACCTTCAAGAGAAAAAAGAAGCCATTTAATAAGTTTAACCCACAGCTTTGAGAATAACCTATGTGTACATATCTATTCGCTGGCATATATTGTAAGTTTAAAAAAATACTCAGGGCCTCTCGGTATATAAAACAAAGGATAAGAGTCCATTTCCAATGGATTGGATGCCATGAAAAGGGTATATCTGAGTTTAGTTTTGGTCGTTTTCTTCAGACCATAAATCTTTTAATGTAATCAATTATAATATTCTGTTTTGTCTGAAATAGTAAAGAAGACATTGTTTAAGACAGGCATGCAAGAAAAAATACAGAAAATATATTAATATTCACTGAAAAGAGGCACTGCTATTCATAACAAGTGTATTATTCAATATTTTGGACTTTTGTTCTTGTACTCGAACCATATGTTGAAGCATAGCAGTTGTGATCCCGTTTCTAAACGTGCCACAGTGCGTACTATCTACCTATTTTACTCCCAGATCTACTCCGAGGTGTTTGCATGATTTAAAAAAGATTACAAGTGTGTTATGGTGGAGGACTTCTCAATCTCTGGTGGGGACCTATTTAATGGTGCACAATATGCATGCGTGTCAACCAGATCCCAACTGATTTTAGCTCTAGTTGGCTTTGGGTTCTGGGGTTTGGATCTTAACGCTCAGCTGATAACTGCCATGCATTGTACTGCACACATTTTTAATAGAACTGAATGACTACAAGATTTTATTGCGCTAACTTCATTTTATAAGAAAAAAAAAATGCTGGTCTTGAATCCAGATCTTCTTACATTGTGTTCCTGTTAATGCCCTGATGACTGAAAACACGCTCTGAAACTACTGTAGTTTATCAAAAGCCATAGTGACAAGGTGCTAGGTGTTCTGCTTTTAGGTATGAAATCTCACTTTGCGTGAATGCAATAGTTTGTCATGGATCCCATGTATTCTTGAAGCATGTTATACTAATATCCCGAAACACTGTCAGTGCAGATCAGTAGAGTTAAGGATTAAAAAATGAACCTAAGTGTTGTCATACTTTTTCAGTGTAGTACTGTACCTGCCTCTACCAGGCTCTTGCTCTCAGTGTATCAATATTTAAAATGTATTGTTCACATATAGATAACCTTAATTCATGTTAATGTTAGCACTGTTATGTTTAAAGTATTTAATTGACAATATCCAACAACCTGGCTAAATGAAAGCATAACCCGTTTAAACTTAGGTGACAACTGAGAATAGAGTCTTGTAGTCTTTCTGTTAAGGGTTACTGAATAATCTCACAGCTTGTGTGGTGCAAAAATGTGTTCCAATAAGCAGCTAAAATTTATTTAGGATTTGTGATTGATTGCTCTGTAGATGCCATTTATTGTTTACCAATGAGTTTTGCTGTGGTGGGATAGTGGTTTACTGTTCTTACTCTCCCTGGCCTCTCGGGGGCCTCGCCTGACCACCAGACTACCCACCGCCAACAGAGCCAGGGCATGTGTTGTGTGTAGGCAGATGTTTTGCTTTGGTACTTGCACATTTACAGTTACCTCATTTTTTCCATGTTTGTATTGGGCGGATAGAGGGAGAAAACGACTAATATATATTATATATAGGAAATGGTTCTTATTAATGTTTTAATTTTTCATTCCATTGGAAGCATATTGTTTGTAGCATTTAACATAACTAGTTAGTGTAATATATACATCTGTATACTGTTTGAAATTTTTAAGATTTGTACTTTTTTTAAATGAAAGTTGCTAGTTATGCTTTACCAAGTAGTGCAATCATATTTTTTTTAATTGTTGTGGCTGATTTGAGAGGGTTGTTCACTAATAAATGTATGATGTATACCAAGTACTCATTTATCATTTACATCACCATTAAAACAATTTCTAAGGAAAATTACAATGTATGCACAGAATCTAGCCTGATATTTTAAAGTCCTCTTTGGGATCAAATCAACTTATGAGTCATGCCAGATTCGCAAAGATACTTAACTGAGTATGTAGCCTGATGTTGGTAAAGGTCAATAAAATAAACAATGTGAAATTTTGACAATCCGCATTTTAAAATGTTTTAATTTATAGTTGGAAAATTACATCTTTACAGGAGCCTATTCAGATGGTACAGGCAAACAGGCATCTATGAGTAACCACAGGCGCACTATGCACAGACTTGTACTATGCTTGATCAAACCACATGTAAGATCTGTGGTGTTAAATATCCAATTATAGTTTATGTCATTCGAGACAGTCTGCATCATAGTAATCAACCTGCATTTGGTCATTTCATCATGACAAATAAGTAGAAAAAAAAAAGTATGGTAGATGTGGGGTCCTTAAATACCTAACGTATGTACATGTCATGGCTCATTTGAAACAGGGTTCCCATTTGTCATTAGTCCAAAGCACTCTCCTGCACCTTGAAGCTGTACAGCTGTCCTTCACACATCAGTAGCACACAAAGTAGGGCAGGCCCACTGCCTGTTCTTTCAGTGGAGGAGACATGTGAACTTAAGGCTTAAGCAATGAATGGGGACAAATGGGTGAAACACTGAATGTAATGTCCCATAACAAACAAGGCAAAAACCATCAAGAAATCTTAATGATAGTTTGGTATCATTACACAGCCTGCTCTCAGCTGCCAGCACCCGTGGACGTTATGCTGTTTTCATGAAGCTATGCAATTACTACATGGAAGCTAATACAACCCTCAAACAGATCTTCTCTGTCCCAGCAAATACAAATGCATTCAAGGAAGGACTTCATGACAATTATTTGATAAAATTCAAGACTTTCCAGGCTACTGGGAACCCTGTAAACAACCAAACAAGGACTGAATGCAGAGTGTGTTTCTATCAATGATCCCTTGTGCATATGGCCTTGAACAAAAAGGAAAAATGGGGTGGCGTTGGAGAGAAATGCGTTGGTTGGAGGTATGTTTTAATCGTCCGTGAGGTCTTGCACAAAGAGGACCTCGCAGCGGCTTAGTCCCGCCTCCTTCAGCGTGGGGGGGTTGGGCTGTTCCTCGCTTGGGAGGCAGGGCAGGACTCGACGAGGGAAGTTTGTAACTATCTGAAACTTCTCTGGAGTCTCTTTCAAAGAGAAGAGGAAGTCGTGTATTACCTGTAAAAAAAAAAAAAAAAAGCAGATATGTTAAATATAAATCCACACAACCATAGTGATCTTAAAAGTTAGGTTATTGGAGTTTACCGTCAGCGACTGCCCAAACAGGAATCGCCTCTCTACCCGTGTGTCATTGGGGAGTTTAAAAACTATTTTGACACTTTCGGGATCATCTGCTTGTGGCTCCGGGGGAAGACACTCAGACTTCCTCTCCTTCTCCTCTTCAAGTTTCTGTAGATATGAAACAGTGGCCCATTTACATGACCAGTACAAAAATCTGACAATCCAATAATAAGATAATTTTTGATGTGTGTTTGTATTGACTAAAGAAATCTGATCATCAAAAACATCTGGTGATATGTGTCAGTCAATACACTTTTAAATAACTTATTTAGAAGCCAAAGTACAATGAATTGCAATAAACTTGTGTATTATTATTCAATAGTTTGTATCTCGCATTCACCAATATGAACAATCAGAAAGAATTCATTTCAATCAATCAATTATATATTCAATAATCTGATAAATCCAAAAAACATGATTTTGTTTCCCAGGTGTTGTCCCAGGTTAGTTCCTACTCACCCGTCTCCTTCGCTCCTCCATGAGCACACTCTGTCTGGCCTTCTCCTCCTCCTGCCTCTTCTGCTCCTGCTCCTCTCTTTTCTTTCTCTCCTTCTCCTGATCAGCACGAAGCGACGCCTCAAACTCCTCATCCTGCCGTTTACGGATCTCCTGGGTCTGATTCCTCTGCTCCCTGTTTTATTAGAATAAAAATACATGCAAGTAAGTCATTTAGTAATCATCTTCTTTAATTTAATTTTAATATCGTTAATATTTTTCTATTTTGCTCCACAGAAAATTATAACATAATGTAACATAACATTCAGAGCATTGTAATTATTCACTGTGATGGGCACTTTACAACTCTCAAAAGAGCAGTGGAAAGTTTTGCAGTTACAGTAATGCTAATATGCACTTCCTGATTATCAGACAATAGCATGCTTTCTAATTAGATGCAGACTTGGAGCTGCTTACACAATATATCTGGGGCAAGATGAATTTTGATACAGGTGCTTTAAGAACTTATATATACATACATACACACATACATATGTTATAACTGCGGCCCCTCAGTGTTACCCTAGTCAAAGTCATAATTTGACACAAAGTGAACAGTGTACCTCTCCATGCGCTCGGACATCAGATATGTTTGGTTGGCCTCCATGATGAAGGTTAGTTGGTTGATGAGGTCCTCGGGCTGGATCAGACCCTCCAGGCGTCCCACCATCGTCATCTTCCCATCCTTCAGCACAATCATTGCCAGAAAAGGATAGGTGTTCTCCCGCAGGGCCTGAGACGCTGAAACCAAACAGGCTTTTTTACACTTAGGCAAACTTTATTGAGCTACAAGGGAAATTACTTGGACACAGTAGCTCACACATCACAATATAATAAGAAAGAGAAAAAATATAAATGGTAATAATAAATTCTAAATAAGTAGCAGAAATAGCAAGAGACTGGTGTCAAATAAGTCCAGTAATATAAAATAAAATATAGAAATAAAGTAATAAAAATATCTCAGCTATATACAAGAAGTCATACAGGAAAGGATGTAAAAGGATGATATGATTGCTAGGACATAGGGTTATCTGTAACGTAAGTGTGAGTTGTTGTATAGAGTATGGTATATATTGTATATGTTGGTATATTTTAACACATTTCACTAGTTTTACTACGTTATTTATGATCAAAAAGCAGTGGTAGTATTACAGTAAAGGAACAGTTATGTGGTTAAAAATGTACTCAGTTGAAAGTACTGCTGCAGTGTGCTTTAGACCAGTCAGTCATACAACATTAGATAATTCAATCTTTTAAAGCTGAATTAAATTATTTGAACTACTACCTGCTTATTCTCTGAGTTTTGGTCTATCAGTGAAGGGATAATCCTGCTTTAGCTTTAAATTTGTTTATCGTCATATTAACATTTATCATCTATATTTTCTTCAGTAATATATCACACAAATTGTTCACACAGAATTGTAATTAACAATTATTTCCCACTCCTGATTAAATGGTACTTTCTTTAGTATTGTCTTTTCTCCAGATACAGCTGATGTACTATTGAAACTGTACAAGGATTACCTCTGTAGCCCTCGGGTTTACTGGTCGAACATGCCCAGAAGAGCATTTGTGTGTTAATGAAGGTTATGACCTCTTCTGTACATAATGTGGAGCTGCAGAATGAAACACAAAATAATCAAATTGTGAATTAACACAAAGGATTCAACTTCAAGTCATTATAAAATTTCACACAAGAAATACAACTAAAAACTATATGAAGTACCGGCAAAACTCGTCCGTGTCTTGGTGATCTTCTCCATGAAGGTAGACTAACAGGTACCGAAGCTCCCGCTTGGCATCATTTAACGCCTAGATCCAAAAAATACAAAAAAAATTGAGCAATTGGAAATTGTCTTCAGGTAGTAGAGACTTTGCAATGTAAATGTTTCACAAACGGGGAATTTGCTATTTACACAACAAGAATCACAGGCTTCACTATATATTACTTTATATGTTGGCTGGGAAGATAAAACCAGAAAATACACAGAATGGCAAAAAGGTTTCAAGGATATATGGCATGGATTGGGTAAACAATGGCACAACACCACAGTAACAAAATGCATACAAGGCAATGGAACATAAAATACAAAATAGCAATAGAATGTGGCATCATAAATGTAAATCTGTCACATTGTGTAATAGATTATTCCAACTGCAATCTGTGTCAGACCTGAAGAGAGTCCAGTCGAAGTTATGCATTAGGCCTAACTGCATAAGGCATTCTTTTTAGTGATAAAACACTGGTAATTGAATACATTTTTTATCAAATATTTCACAACTCATCCAAGCTGCTTCTTCAGTTCTCGTCCGATTGCTGGTGGACAGAACTGAATTTCTCCTTTGCTATGGACTCCTAAATACTCCTAAAGTCTCGATTGATATTGTTAGAACTGATTCTGATTCTAGTCAGTTTATACCAATATTGTTAATATTTGTCTGTCACGAAGCCTAGTGCTTCAGTTTCTGGCCTCACCTGGCTGTATGTTCCCTGGTAAAACACAGGATGTGACCGGCCGTATTTCTCCTCAAAACTGTGAATAAAAGATACAACGTCTCCAACGGGGTCCGTGACACGGCCACGAGGGTCTGGCCTAATGAACCTCAGTGCAAACCTGCAGCAGAGCAACAAAATCATTCTTGAATTACTGTGAAATTGAGTGGATTTTTATGTCTGATCAATGGTCTAGATTACCTGAATATGTCCAGAAGTGTGTAGTATGTAAATCTGAAGGGTAGCATTATCAAATAGTAACTCCATCCTAGCAACCCCTTGAAAAGACAAGCACATATGAACATTAAGAAACTCAATAAAAACTAAAAGAATGTTGAACTTCATTTGTTCATTTGGGAGGGTGTGTTCTGGATACATCACTGGTTAACAAGCAATAATAAAAGATACATATTATGTATATTATGAGCCTACCCTGGGTTGTGGCCTTGATACGATGTAACTATATATTCTATGGTCTGCTGTATTGACCTGTAATGGTCTGTGAGGTGGAGGGTTAAACACACTGGGCACGCCTTCTTGCTCGTTAAGTCTGTCTTGTACTGCAGCCTGCAAAATGAGAGAGATATTCAATTATTTGATGGACAAGGCGGTC